ACAGATCTTCTATTTGGGCACGCAATTAGTTCATCGTATTTTAAATTCATGAGAATAACATGACATATGCGCTGAATAAAATACTTTTTGGGTGACGTCTAAACGCAGTCACTTTATTCACATACTGTTAATAACCAAAGAAATATTCGAAGAAAGGATTGGAATCTTTTGATAGACGACTGAGTGATGGAAAAAAACGTTAGTTAGCCTTCTGCTTGGGAACTGGGCCGCTATAGACAAGATAAGGAATACCATTTTAATTAAAATTACTATTTTACGCAGGTTAGTATCCGTAAATGCTGAAAAAGTTTGGTGATTTTTTATTTCTGGAGAATGCATTAGCGTGTGGCTTCCATATGTTAGAGGTCCAGCACAGCGCTTTCCAGTCCAGGCAGAGCGATGGTGATGGCGCTAAGCCGAACCGGTCCAATGAAAAGCTCTTCGCCCCCAATAGTGTTCGTTGGTATACATAGCGCTCTGTTCACTCAGTGATATAATAGAAGAGTTACTTTTTCTTTAATTCTGATTTATTCTAATTAAGACTGTAATTAAAGAAAATTTTTAAGCAGTTTTCAAGGTTCAGACGCTCAAAACTAGTCAACTAATCGTAATTCTAAGCTAAACATCGAACGATGCGTAGGCATAGAAAAATGTTGTCACCCAATAGCAAGCAAACTATATTCTCAACTATCAATAATCCCTAGAAATTTAAATTGGTATAAATTAGCTAGTGTGAAAAGTTATTAGATAGTGTGAAAAGTTATTAGATAGTGTGAAAAGTTATTAGTTATTAAATTAGTGAAAAGCTATTTGATCTAAGCCGCCGTAATATTTTTCGAAGTGAAAATGAGGTTTGTAAGAAGGATGAGACGCATTTCTCTGCATGAATAAAAAAGTGAACAAGAAAGATGCGCCAAGAAAAGTCAACGACTCATGTTCAGCTTCTCGATCAGGCCTACATGTCAACAGTTATCAGGTATCTCCACTTTATGTTACATTTAAATAATAAAATGTTATGGGAGGCATAATTTTAATAGCATTGAAATGGGAAAAGGTCATCTTTATCATCGTCTATGCCCTATGGCAAGAACTTAGCTGTGACGCCCAAATTCTACGAACATGAAATGAACGCTTTGATGCTTCATATTCAGCATAAAAAGCTTTGATGCCTTATGGCGAAAGATTACCTTGGATTCTCTTTTTAACCGTCGGTCGAGAAGTCCTCAGCAAAATGACAATTGAATGAGACGAATTCTGACGAGATTTTTAGGCGCTTTCCGGAAGCGGAGAGAAAATTCCTACGGAAAGCCTCCTTTAATACACTAATGCTCGGGCCAGGAATTAAGAAGGAGCTTTTGTAGCAAATGGAGCGCCCGTGCAAGCTTCCAGAGCGTCAAAGGCGAGAGATGTGAAAAATGATGAATTCTTATTCGGTGAGCAGCAAAGCTGGAATCATTCGAAATTACCATTTATTTCCTCCAAATAAAATTTACCCCCAAATGAAATTGTATTTGTATTCGTGTTACTTGCAAGCTAACGCTGGCTGACCCCGACAATATTATCAACACGATGCACGATCGTTGGAAATAATGAATAAATGGAAGTATAACAACATAGAAATTCCTTTCACATAATTGTAAATTGTATTAATCATATTACAAATATAAATCGATGATATTAACTTGCAGCAATTTGAGTGCCCAGAAAACTGCCCATTATATGCTATATATATTGGCATTACCGTTGCACACCGCACCAATCGAAATTATATATATTATATGCTTCTTATGCCTATTACATGCTACATTGGCATTACCGTTGCACACAGCAGCAACGTAAATTATATATATTATATGCTTCTTATGCCCATTACATGCTACATTAGCATTACTGTTGCACACCGCAGCAACGTGTTGTTAGCACGGCTACCGCGCTGGGCCTATACTTTCAACAAAAAGTTAAAAGATCGTAAGTTCATCAGCCAATCATTGACGGCCTTTCAAGCAAAATCCACCAATCATAGACAAGAAAATAGAGCGTATAAGTACTTACGTTCACTTAGCGAATTTTAAGAGTATGGCCCCTGATCATCTTGCACCGATGACATTCTCACCTCCGTTATGTAACAGCAATTTAATATTAGTTCCATTAAAAACTTTATACTAACTAATAATGACTATTCTCGACGAGTGATGCATTATTAATGACATCCATGCATATTCTGATTTCTAATATTCAGCTTCTAAAATAAACATGTTGAGCTGAACATGTTTAATCAGAACATGTTTAAAGCTACATCCAAAACAAAATATGATATCCTTTGATAGACAAATCTGAGTTTTAATAATGTTTTATTGATTTCTTATCAAATAAGACACATATCAAAATAAACTAACAATTATCAATGTTTTTAACTCACCGAAGACAAATTTTTTCCAGGGATTTTCCTTCTGCCTTGTGGCTTGTCTGCCAATATGATTGACCAATGGCACCACTTGAACGCTTGTGAGGGTTCACTGTACACTTAAACCGTGCAAAGCATGTAAGCACGGTATGAAAAATAAATGTTTAATCGAAAAAAATGTCCCTAAAGTTTCAGATAATCACTCAAAAAAGCACGGTATGAAAAATACTTGTGGAGTCGTACCAATTTCGTTGAAGTTTCAGACAATCACTCAAAGCGTAAAATATCTTATTAGTTATTAGCCAAAACCCACTTACGAGGGATTTGAATGTGACCCACCGTGACACGTCTCACCAAGAGCAGCTATTGTAGCTAAAGAAGATATTTTAATACAATTTCCTGAAATGTTGAAAATAGTACAAAGTTATAGGGATTTTTAATACTCACATTATGTGGTGCAATTAAATATTTCAATATTTAAAGACATTAACCAATTACTAAAAGTTATTCAAGTAAAAATTACGATGCAGTTGTTCAACAACTGCATCAACATTTATAATGCAACAAGTTGCTTTATAAATTGTAAATGACGGCTGAGGAATTAGTACCAGTTTTCATTCATAAATGTTCACACTGAATAATGCTCACTAATAGGAGCTACTTCAATATGTAAATAATCGTGACAATATCAAAAGAAATTAGTGTGATGTCAACTCCCATTTGAGTAATAAATAAAATTATTAATTTCTTCCATGGCGAGAGCTTTATGCGAATGAAAAAATTTTCAGTACAGTGACAGTAACATTTCTCGGTAAGTGGAAACACTTTCTCTGTCCCGGCAAAAGGTAAAATCAGTCAGTGAAATCTATTCATATAATTTTATTTGGGCTATTGAATTAAAGAGAAATGATAAACTTATTATGAATTTTAGTGTACACCTGCTGGGCCGATGACGGGTTGAGTCGTTGAGGGGTGCGGCATTGAGCAGCACGCGTGTTGGGGCCTCGGCTTGACTTTGATCTCAGCGGGCGGTTCTGTTCGAGAAGCTCGGGAAGGAAAGGATTTGAATTCTCAAAAAATTGTTGAGGTGATCGTAAATTCTGTCATGTCATCCACTATTGCTATTTGTATTGGTGGTTGACTTATTCACGCTGTATCTTTTCTTCTAACTGCCTTAAAAATTCAGCTCCGCACACAGGCAATACAAATACTAGCTTTTACAAACGATATGGCGATATCAATCCGATTAGCTTTGTTCTAAAAGCAAAATAGTATTGCTCCGAATACTCCAAACCAAGATCGTATGATTGAAGATGATCTAAAAATAAAGTAATTCTACATTTGTGAATAAAATCATGTTTCTGGAAAGAAACTTAATGAGTCGATCGTTGCACGTAGTCACTCACGAAAGAGAATAAAAGCTATATGAAAGTGGTAAAACTCAAACCGGTACAAACTCGTCCCTATTCTCAAATTAAATATTATGTTCAATCGGATATAAACGTGAAGTGGGCTGCAAAACTGCATTGCTGATAAAATAATTTAAGCCGTCACCCTAATCTTTAAAAACGTTGATTTTTCTATCTGAGGGCATGAAACAATGAAGCTCAGGTGCGTGATGCTCCTCATAATGGCGGCTTTCATTAGCAGCCATTGAAGCGTTCGAGGTGATGATGTCCGCCCGGCGTTTGCAATGAAGCTTTCACTTCGACACAAAAGCCATTGAGCAACAATCGCCTCTCATGTGAAACAATCGTTCATTTATCCGTTAACTGCGGTTCGCACGAGAACCAAAGATGAGGTACACTTTCTCGGAACCACGTAAAATAAACAGTCTTGATTGTCTCTCTTACAACGGATTACTACATGAGAATTTAATAGATGTTTTAAATAAGGTATCACATGTATGAATTAAATAAATATAATACATTTTTAGTAATTGTTCATTATCCTCATGGAGAATGATGACCATCATTCATGTAGTTAGCATCATCAAGTACAGAATGGTTGTTGTTCTATTGTTTTTTTTCGTTGTTTTATATTTTTATAAAAAGGTCGTGTTCTACAGCTATAATTTTTATTCAGTGCTGTTTGCTCATGTCGCTTACGGATGAGTGAGTTAAATAGAATTAAAAATAGAATTAAATTTTATTGAAATTCTACTGAAATATTATATAAAAATAAATTCTATTGAAATAGAATTCAATAGAATTCAAATAATAAAGGCAGTATAGAAATTGCATCTACAGTACGTGATTTTCCCTATTCATTTTATCAAGACGGATTATGGTTTTAATTTAGATTCTATGATCAAAATTTTGTGATGATTGAATCGAAAATTCGAGATACAATAACCCCACTATATTAGAATGTTGTTGTTTTTAATTCATGGGTTAAAATGAACTTTGCTCCCCAACGATACATCTCCTGAATTTATTTTTTACTCAAATTCAGAAATCGATTAAAATTTATTAAATCTATTCGGTATAATGAAGCCATCTTACTTTTTATGGTTTACTGTGACGTGTGTGGAATTTAATTTTTTATTGGTATTTTTCTAGAAAATCTGAGTTCCAAGATCGCGGATAAAATATAAATATGGGTCTTCAGTGACTCTTCACCACTCGTACATGGAAACGTTGTTGGGTGAACGGCGAAGTTCTTCATAACTTGCAATCCAAATTTAGTTGACATATCACATAAGATTGTTTTTTGCAACTCCAAGGGTATTGTACAAGCATGGATGAAGACACTGGTCTTAAATCTCATCGGCATCGAAGAGAGCATAAGGAGTTTAGAGAATTAGAAAGAAAAGAGAGAGACAGGGAGAAGAATATCGAGCGAGAAAAGGAAAGGACTCGAGAAACCCACAGAGACAGTCGAATAGGTCTAAACAAAGAGCGGGATAGAGATAGGTATGGTGACCGAGACAGAGAAAGGTGAGTTTAAATGAATGTTTTATTGGTCTGTTCAGTATTTAGCAGCAAAATTTGTAGGCGTGAGCACCAATTTTTCACATTCTGATTTCTGATTAGGGTACCTAAATGCGGTAGCCTACATTCCGACATAGCCTATTGAGGATGTAGGGTAAACGCGGTATATTCCGACATCATAGGTAATTCCGTCACCTCTCCAGCTTTTCCTTTATATCAAGCTTTGTTTTAGTTCCATGCGTTCATTGATGGTTGAAATGGTGACGTCATACATTTGTGTAGGCTAGCAAAGCAGAGAGTTTTTTAGACTCTCCCTCAAGTTCATATTTGAGTCATATAACTAGACCAACAAAGTATCATGGATACCAGCATAATTATGCATAAGAATTTGATTTAAATCTTGAGTAAACAAGGAAATTAAAAATGAGCTGCTCTAAAAAATCTTTTGTTTGTCACTATGCTCTCAATTCTCAAAACACCGCACTACCTACGACTCATAGTGGTAAAGCAGAGAGTTTTTTAGACTCTCCCTCAAATTCATTTTTGAGTCCTATAAGTAGATCAGTAAAGTATCCTGGATAGTGGATACCAGCTTTATCATACATAAGAAATTGGTTTAAATCTTGAGTAAATGAGGAAATTAAAAATGAACTGATTCTAAGAAAGCTCTGGTTTGCCACTATGACCTACGTGCCAGCAACAATGAAACATCACAAACTGTTGCCATATTTATTTAAAAGCCTTTAGAATTCAAACCTACAAAATCCCTGAATTCCAACACTGTGTTGTGTGACTAAATTTGGCATATAATGAGACTAATTCCGGCAGCGCTTCTAACTCTATTAATTTGTAATTCCGGTGCCTGTGTTGGAATTCCGACGCCCTGTGTGAGCTGTATTGGAATAGGGTAAACGCTGTATATTTCAACATCTTGGGTAATTCCGACACTTCTCAACTTTTTTCCTTTATATTAAGCTTTTTCTTTGACCTTAGTTCCATGCATTCATTGATGGTTGAAATGGTGACGTCATACTTTTGTCCGCCATACTATTACCAAAACACTAGGTCTGGGCTGTCTGGCGGGAAAATGTTGAGATCCAAAGAGAGTCTAGAGAGACAGTGCACGTCACCCAGTGAGAACATCGAAAAATGTGTCAAAGTTGATAGTTGACCTTGCTCTACCAAATCCACACTCAGGATGATGTATGTTTTCGGTGAATTTTTCTGTTTATTTTCACTTTTTTTAAGCTATTGCTGTGCACAGTTGGCACAATGTAATGAAAATTGATTATCTTTGTGCACGTGTTTGCGCAATCCTGGCCATCTTTATTTTAGAAGAAATTTTCTCCTAAGTCATATGGCAACACTGAACACCATCTGTTTACATTTCGTATGTATAACAGCCGCAGTTTATGATTACCGTACGTTCCGTATCCGACAAGGCGGACAACCGGAAGAGTCAGAAGTAACCCGGACATGTCTTACATTTTATTATTGTCAGTTCGACTCGCGTAGTCAATATACTCGCGTATATTGTTGACTAAAATAGTAGAAGTATTTTAGCTTTCTAAAGTACGGCGCATGGCGCATTTTTTTACCAACGTAGTACGGCGCACCGCGCAGGTCGTTAAAATGACAAAATAAATTCCCGCGCACCTGGCACATCTTCTTGACCATGGTACCAAATAGTGATGAACTGTTTGTGTAGAAAGAATACCGTATTATGGTTTGAGACTTTTAAATACGTCTCTGAATATAATAGGAATCCTTTAAGCATACTTGTATTTGCTGATTTCAAGTGATAAAGAAATTAATAGATGATTAAGTTGACAGATGGTTTTAGACACAAAAACTAATTCTGACACAGCTTGGAATTAGACACGCACAGCTCGTTCCAAGCTGTGTGCAAAAATTAAAATTTTCTTAATCAAAAGCTTAATAGCTCTTAATTAAAAGCCTAATTAAGTAGTGTTCAATATTCAATAGTGTTCAATATTCAACAGTGTTTTAATTCCAAGCTGTGCCGTATTCCAACACAGCTCACACAGCGATAGGAATTTGAACACAAGATTGTCGGCATTACGAATGAGTAGAGTTTGAAGCGCGGCCAGAATTAGTCTCACGAAATGCCAAATTTAGTAACACACATTGTCGGAATATATGGATTTGGTAGGTTTGCATTTTAAAGGCTTTTAAATAAATATGGCAACATTTTGTGACGTTTCATTGTTGCTGGCGCGTAGTGCGGTGTCTTGAGAGTGACGTTAAGCAAACAGAACTTGAGTTGCGCGTACGGTGTATTTTTTATAGCCATTCATTTTTTGCTACGTCCTTAATGTGTTGGAATATACTGCGTTTACCCTACGACACAGCTCGGAACAACCTTAATTAAAATTTTTTAATTAAGCTTTTAATTAAGAGCTATTAAGCTTTAATTTTAAGCACCCAATTAACTGTCATTTCCTTAACAAATAGTGGTTATCCTTAACAAATAGCACCCTCGGAGGGCCTTGAAAAGTTCAAATTGCACACCCCCCCCTCCCTTCTCAAGGGAGTATTACTGGAGCACTCCTGCCCTGAGTGCCATCCTGGTGGATCTAAATGACCAACCATTTCCAGAATTCCACCATGGTCAAGAATGTCCCCAGGCCGCCTGGGGACATTCTCTCTTTCTTGGTTCAGGACCTTTCTGACATCTGTAGGTTTCCAATAAACTTTAGTGACGAACGAATTATTATCGTCTTTCACCAGTATGTCCAGAAAAGGCAATGTGTGATTTTGTCCGAATTTGTAAGTAATTTAAAGTTAACATCAAAACGAATAATTTTGCTTGAACGTCTTCAATCAAACCTGTATAAATGAAGAACTTCTGCCTAACTACACTAGTTTGTACATAATGTACCAAAACATACTAAATTTATCAAAATTAGCATAATGTATGAAAAATTTCTAAATTTAAAGGAATAATGTGAATTTCATGATAAATAACCAATTTTGTGGTACGATATAGATATTCTTCCTAAATCCATCATTGTATGCTAAAACCCATTTTTAGCGCAAGTACTGAAATTTATATCTCAATCAAGTGAAATTTTCAATTGGAGCCATTAATGAGACAAGAATGCTTGTGCTTATGGTCCATTTTACCCATTTTCATTACTCTGCCTAATTTCTTTTGTATAAATAATAGAAACAGAACATTTTTGCTGCAATTTTAGCAAATTGCATTATTTTTACCTGCAATTTTTTATAAGTCTCTGATAATGCAAATGGAAAAACACTGCTGCACCATTGTCTTTTATGCGCTATTTAATAAATACTTGGGGCCAAACCCAGACCTTCTTACTGTCATGCAAGACCATAAAATAGGGAGAGCATGGACAAAAAAATATTGTCATTGAAGTTTTGTTACCAAGACAAAATACTGCAGTTACTTTTCATGTGTTTTGTGGCAAGTGGCAACACTTTGAAAATGCAGCTGAGCTTCTAATCATAAGGAACTCCTCAATAAACCAGAATCCAGATCCCAGATGGCATGGTTCTGATTTGAAATTATTTTTTTTCTATGCATGCATTGCCCAAATTAAGATGCAAGTTTAGAATGGAGATAAGCAGAAAAAAGGCCTACTGTGTGTCAAAGACATAATCTGTCAAAATGCTCTTATAATCTTCCATTCCAATGCTTTGGTGTGAATTATAAACGTTTTTATGCATCACTATTTCTAGTATTCTGTTCAGTTTGCTTCATGTGTGGAAGTTATCTTTGCTTCCAACTATGCTAAGTTTGGCAATTATGCTGTCAAGATAGTTTTTGGCCCAAAGTTCCACTAGTTGATAGAGCTAAATGCTGCAAATACTTTATTTTGAACTGTTTCTTCCCAATAATTCAAACCTAATACTATCATTCCAGTGCATCTCCTAACAGCTGTTTTACAACTTTGAGAATAAGGACATTCTTTTTCACGTATACAGATCTATTATCTCAACAAAAAATTAATCTTTTAGAGATCGATTGATAAAATTTCAAATTGTAGGCATTCAATGTGCTACAGCTGCCATATATCACAAGTGACTGAAATACATGACAAGAAAATGCTAAGAACATTCACCATTTGTTTTAGCTGAAAATATTATGGAGACCAGTTTCATTATCATTTTATGCTTATTAGCTAAACTTTAGGAATAAGCATGCCATAAAGTGCCATACCTTTGTTGTTAAGCAGTTTTGAAATTCAAGCCTTCACCCATTGTGCATTAGATTTGAGTATTTCAAAATTAGTATTACCTCTTAATCATTGCAAAAATCTTGTCTAAACAATGCTTACCGGTATAGTTCTTGTCTGCTTTAAATTGATTTATAAGTTTTCACATTATCAGGCATATATATATATTTATATAATTGATCTTTGGAGTTTGAAATATTACTGGTCTCTGGAATGTTTTCAAGGAAAATCTAGAAAATTTTTGAAGCATTTCTTTTAAATTTATTTTTTTTTATTGACATTTTCATTGCTTTTACTCTAGGCTTTTCCATCTTGAACAAATCATTAAATGATTTATGTATTCTTAGGCTTCAATTATCATTAGAGCGCAATACTATTTTGATTTCCAATTTTCAGAGCTAAGCGCCGTGACCGTAGCAGTGCTGACAGAGAGAGAGTTAGAGATGTCAGGAGAGCCCGGAGCAGCTCTCCTCCTGATAAGGTTTGTTGTATATATACATTATTCAACACACATTGCAGACATTTGCTATATCATCTATGTTTTTATAATGCTTTGGTCTATTTACACTATTTAGAATTATTTACAAATGTATAGATATCTTTAAAAAATTCCAGCTACTTTTTAAACATGTGCCCACACCAAACGGGATTTTTGCAGCCTGGTTTCTCATTCCACTGCCAATTGCAATTAAAGCTCCAAAAAATTTTGTGCAATGATACACTGAAGGACAAAAACTTAGTTGAATATTTTGGAACAACTGCTTGTAAATTAACACGTAGAGTGCGGTATCGTACCACCGGTACGCAATATGCCCTGAATATGTCATAGGCACTCTTAATGTGTTAAGGGGAGCGTCCACCCTAAAATTTATCTCTGCTATTCACAGACGGATCACTCTGAAACTTGGTACACATATGTAAAATGAAAAAAAATTGCATTTTGTTCATGTGAATTTTGAAAATGAAAGGAAACGATAAATTCTTAGAAAACGGCCAAAAAAGGGGGTACTTTTGAAATCTATCTTCTCCTAGAATTTTCAAGCTATAACATCGAGACACATATCATTCAATGTATAAGGACCATATCTACAAAACTGGGTAGGCGTTTTTTGAAATTCTAATTTTTGTGGGTGTGGGACCATTTTTTGTAAATTTTTTGGAAATTTATCAATTTTTTCTATTTTTCCCCCACTTTTTACTAAATAAAATCCAAACTATTACGAAATTAGAAAAACGCCTATACAACTTTGTAGACTTTTATTTGTGAATCGAATGATATAGGTAGTATGTCTCATTGTTATAGCTTCAAAACTCTAGGAGATAGGTCTGCCATGAGAGAGGTTTTCATGTTTTCAAACTTTTCATTGGAGGCAAAAAACCGCAGCGCGCTATGTGAAGGCATGTAACATAGCTTATATACCAAAAGTAAGTGTTATCTCACTTCAAAGTCAGTCAGTGGTGCATAGGACAACTACATCAACACCTTTCCGCATGATGGCAAAGTGGTAACTTAGCTGCAGGTCCAGTGATAACACATTTTATAGGGCTTGGCCATAATTATCCCCGTAGACTTTTGTAAAGGGACCCTACCATGCTCCCCCCTTTCGGGATCTGTCCTGAACGCTTAAATCAACGTACAGAGATGGTTCTAGTACCATTCGATGCAGCATAAAGTAAGCTTTAAGATGAGCTTAAAAACCGGAAAAGCTGAAATTTTTGATTTTTAGGGTAGACGCTCCCCTTAAAGCAGTTCAAATGGGGGTATTTTCTGCATATATGGACTGTTGCCTTTCAATGGTTGACTCAGTTACAAATGCCTGCCAGCATTCACTAACAATTTTTGGCTGGTGAAATGAGGTAACACTTTTTCTTGAATGGCATCTTGTAAGGTCATGCATTTGTTCTGGTTTGGATGTTCTTTGTTTCTTATTATTATTATGTGCCAGCTTATTTCTCTTTTCTTATTTCACAGTCATGGACTGAAAAAGATAAGAACAATGCTGATGAGGCTATGGAAGAGGAGTTGCCCCCTGTGCCCATCAAAAAAGAGCCACTATCCCTGGAGGAAATGGTGGCCAGGAAGCGAGAGGAGGAAGAAAAGCAAAGTAGACCCAAGTTCCTCACTAAGGAAGAGAGAGCTGCTGAGGCTTTGAAAAAACGTCAACAAGAAGTAAGTGGGGAAAATTTCTTGCTTATGTTTTATGCAATTATCCGTGGGATTGTAATGGTACAACAGCCTTCTTGCAATTGTTTGGTTTAAAATTTAGGTAAGAAGATATTGTTGACGTAAATTACGTAGTGTTGAGACTTGCTCTAAAGTGATAGAAGTGAGAAGGCCGTAATTTTATACATAAGGGTAGGTCTATTTTTAGTTTGTCCCTTGGGGGAAAAAAAGGATTGAGCTCATTCATTGAAGATTTTTGTGCATACAGGTTGAAGAGCAGAGGCGGAAACAGGAAGAAGAACGTAAAACCCGCGAGACGATGTTCAAAGAAGGTCAGAGGGAGTTGGAGGATGCCCTTCGCAGCGAAGACCCTCGAGAGCGCTACCGAAGGGAGCGAGATCGAGAGACAAAGGAAGATATTGAGGCCGAGAAGAAGAGGCAACTGGCACGTGATGCCATCAACGAACGCTACTTTGGGATCGTCAAGAGGAAGCGGCGTGTGAGACGTCTAAACGACCGGAAGTTTGTGTTCGATTGGGACGCTTGTGAAGACACCTCAGTTGACTACAATGAACTGTACATTTCTAAGCATGACGTGCATTTCTTTGGTCGTGGTCACTTTGGAGGGCTAGACATCAAGGATCAAAAGAAGCAGCAGTCCAAATTCTACTCAATGTATTTGGAGAAAAGGCGTACGCAGGAAGAGAAAGACCAAGAGGGCGTGCGTATTAAAAAAGAACAGAGAAGGGAAGACAAACAAAAGTTTGATGACCGTCATTGGAGCGAGAAGGCTGTTGAACAAATGACAGAGAGAGATTGGAGAATTTTCAGGGAAGATTACAATATTTCCATCAAAGGAGGACGCATACCCAATCCATTGAGGAGCTTTGAGGAATCTGATATAAAGAAAGATATTTTGGATATCATTGAAAAAGTCGGTTATACCGAACCTACGCCTATTCAGCGACAAGCCATTCCTATTGGTTTTCAAAACCGCGACATTATCGGTGTTGCAGAGACTGGTTCCGGCAAAACCTTGGCTTTCCTCATACCACTTCTGGTTTGGATTCAGTCTCTGCCCAAGCTCGCTCGTCTAGAAGACGCCGATCAAGGACCCTATGCTCTCGTTATGGCGCCAACTCGCGAGTTAGCGAACCAAATTGAGGAAGAGAGCAATAAATTTGGTGACCCGTTGGGCATCAGAACAGTTTCAGTGATCGGTGGATTGTCGAGGGAGGAGCAAGGCATGAAACTCCGCATGGGTTGTGAGATTGTCATAGCCACTCCTGGTCGTTTGGTGGACGTACTAGAGAACAGATATCTCGTATTAAATCAGTGCACCTACGTTGTCTTTGATGAAGCTGACAAAATGATTGACATGGGCTTCGAGCCTGATGTCCAGAAAATTCTTAGTCACATGCCTGTAACGAATGAAAAACCCGATACCGACGATGCTGAAAATGAGGATACACTTATGAAAAACTTCCTGTCTAAGCACAAATACCGGCAAACTGTGATGTTCACGGCCACTATGCCACCTGCAGTTGAACGTCTGGCTCGCAAATATCTGCGGCGACCTGCCTATGTCTATATTGGCTCGGTTGGCAAGCCTGTTGAGCGTGTAGAACAGATTGTCTTCATGGTCTCGGAACAAGAAAAACGCAAAAAGCTGCTCAATATTCTACAGAGAGGAATTACGCCGCCGGTACTCATTTTCGTCAACCAGAAGAAAGGAGCAGATGTGCTGTGTCGCGGTTTGGAGAAACTTGGCTTCAATGCCACGACATTGCACGGTGGCAAGGGACAAGAGCAGCGTGAGAGTGCTCTTGCAAGCCTCAAAGGAGGTGCAAAAGACATTCTCGTCGCCACCGACGTCGCCGGTCGTGGTATTGACATCAAAGATGTATCTCTTGTCATCAATTACGATATGACCAAGAATATTGAGGATTACACTCACAGGATCGGTCGCACAGGTCGTGCTGGTAAGACTGGGCGAGCGATCTCGTTCCTGACCAAGGAAGATTCCGGCATTTTCTATGACCTTAAACAGACGCTCCTGAGTTCACCTGTCAGCACATGCCCTCCAGAGCTTGCTAACCATCCAGATGCTCAGCACAAGCCTGGAACCGTTATGACCAAGAAGCGACGAGAGGAAAAGATTTTTGCCTAACTTCGATTGAATTGTCATGTGCTCTCCATTTGGTATGTTTCATTCATGCAAAATCATTTATCGCGTTCTGATCTGTAAGTGCAGTGGAAAGTTTCGTAAATTTTCTAATCTTCATCAGTTCTGTCATGCGTGTTATTATTGTATCTATCGCTGCATTCCGATAACTACGAATGTTTTTTATTATTGTCCACAAATTATGAGGTTTCATTTATCGGCAGTGCATATACTTTTTTTCATTTGATTTCCTGGGAATGCTGTCACGTAGTAACTCTTTAAGAGAAGCTTAAGCTCTTGTTCATATCTTCTACATTTTGTGGTCAGATTCGTGTATACTGTATAGCCTGCGATACGGCGGCCTCGCGCGGTCACAACCTTCAGCTCGATCGCTCTGGTAGCAACATAACGTTCCTGTTAGTTCCCTTGTCAGCATCACTGATATAAGCCTATTTAGTTATTGAGGTAAGATTTACTCATTTCTGAGGAATATCTTATTTGCGATTTTTTTCAAGTATCGAATCACCCCGTCTCATAATTTGACAAAATGTTTCCATGCTTTTGATTGGAGGTGAACTTGCTTGATGGTCATCAACCTAAGCTTATACGAGCTATTATTTATGTTAAGAAATAATATACTAAAGCATTGAACGATTTTATAAGTATCAAATAATTAATGATTAGGAAATCATTTCGAACGGCCGTAGTGACATATGGAGCGATTGAGCCGACAAAAAATTCGGATGTATGCGTAATAAATTGTTTAATTTACGTAGTTATTTCATTCATAAAACGAGATTTACCACAATCCGCAGAGAAACGAGGCAAATTTCGGGTTATTGCTACACTGAAGTGGTTAGATGACGGCACGTGTCAGGGTGCCAATGAACAATTGTCACACTTTCATATATTTTTTATTTGTCATTCTTTCTAGGACCTCTTCTGACATGAGTCCAGCCATCATCGTCCACTTGTGGTTTTTCAGCAACTTTTTTAGGTGTTTCTTCATCCTCGGTCGAGTCAGACTCCTCACTCGCCTCCTCCCCGTGGTTGACAACGCTGTTTACAACACTCAAGCTCACCTGCGCAGTAGAACGTAAAATAATAGACCTTGGTTCCATGTAATGAAATTCTGAAGCAATATTGCAGTGCTGAAACAATTCTTACGCAACCGCTATGCAAGAATGGAGATATGAAAAGCAGTGGAAAAGTGCATTAATACTAGGTAATGGTTCAGCAATAAAAACCCTTTTATGGGTTGTTGCTGAGAGAAAACCGAATGACGGAGGTATTGGTGCACACCAGATTGTTATAATCATGGCTAACTTTACTTTGAAGGACCTATAATTCCTTGTATAAGTAAGTCACTGAAGCAAGTAAATCGTATTTGAACCTGAAGTTCACATATAGAAATCATGTATTACATGAATTTTGAAATGCCACTCAATAAGTAAGTCACTGAAGCAAGTAAATCGTATTTGAACCTGAAGTTCACATATAGAAATCATGTATTACATGAATTTTGAAATGCCACTCAATAAATTCATTTGGCTAAACATTAGCTATTGCAAGGAAACGCTTACGTCAGCCTCATCAGGCTCGCTCTGCATCGTGAAAAGGGCTGGATTATATGACGGCAATTTGCTCATCTCCGACCGAACTGCATCATAATTTTTCTTTAGTAGAAGTCGGTGCACTCTACATAAATATTCGCCAATCTGAAATGAATCATAGTTTTCGGTTGAGGTAATGTAAACAGGAAACATTTTAGTGTCACTAGAAAATTAGAAATTGACTAAATAAACAATGTTAATTACATTACAGATTTTAAAGATATTTTTTCAATAATTTTTCAATTAGTGATAGAACATGCATAGACGGATAAAGTACAATAATTTGAATGGGTGAGTTCACGATTAATCACGTTACATACCGTAAAATGGGGTAACTTAGACCACTTTTTTTTCTTATAAATGATGCCATTTTCTTACTAGCTAAATTAAACTTGAATTGAAACATGCAAATTATGTCAAATAGTTTTTGAGTTGTGGGGGTTTTTGTAAAAAAAACGAAATGTGGTCTAAGTTACCCCGCCGGTCTAAGTTACCCCATTTTACGGTAGGTGCTTTACTAGCTGTTTAGTTCATCGCATAAGAAGAATTTGGATTTGCCTAGTATTGTTCAAAAACTATTGTTTCCATTTCACTCACAAATTTGTCGGAGCCGTCACATACTTCGACGTGTAATTCTTCTTCCATGATATCAGTTAAAACATCTGCCACTTCGTCTGGTTCTAGGTCTTCTGCACATAGAAAATCAAATTATTTTAACTAAAATCCTAATGATGAATTGATTTCACTGAAAGCCACATATATATATTTTCTCAAAGACTACCAGTAGTATGAAATAACACCAGGAAAACTGAATAAACACGAGATTTTTAAATTTCCTAAATATTGTAGGTATAGTTCTAATATCTTCCAAGTCCATTAGAAATTAGAAAAGTTTATTGCAAAGCAACTAGAGTTCTATCTTCTTCAATCAATTCAGCTACTCATCTTTTGCACCATGAAATTCTTGAAATGCTTTTTAAAGAAATGAGAATGATTTAATGAATTGTGAATTTTTTTCCTGTCGAATGCAGCGATACAAATTCCATACCATTTTCTGCAAAATACTGTTCAGTTGCACCTATCATCCACTCTGCTATTTGTCGACTCTTGAGTCCACCAGCATGCTGATCAACTGCAAACTGTAGGAAAATTTAAATATTAAAAACTCATTGACATCACTGGATGTAAAAACACAGATTCAAGTAGGTAATAATTTGTAGATTGCATAACGTCATCACTATATTTGCCACAAAAACATGAACAAAATTAGAGAAGCCTAGGAAAGATGCATGATAAATTAATTTCACAATAGCATAATTTTGTTGAACTAACATGCTTATACTAACTCAGGCACTCAGTTCTAATTTGAGTGAGATTGCTAGAAATCATGATATGAAACTCTTATAATGAGTAAATATTTTCTTGAAATTTTGCCAACCTGTAGTGCATCCCAGCCTCTAAAAGCAGCTCTGATAGCTTCTTCGAAGGTAGGAGGAACTTCCATTTTCCATAAGATCTGAGGGCAAGAGACATTGAATTAGTAGGATTAGACATAACCAAAACCAATTCTAAACAAATTCTGCCTAAAATATATGCCATACTTTTCTTATGGTTTTCTGCTTCAGATTCTGGAAGAATAAATTGAATAACCAATTGCTAAAATTTGGCAAGCAAATTAATAAGTGAAAGTGAAACTTGAGCTTAGAATCAATGAAAAATAACTTGTTGCAACATGAAATTTGATTTATGTACATAAATTTAGCCTGAACATGAAGTTTAGAAGTTGACCATAATACAAGGCAAGACTGCAAGACCAAAAATAATTAAATCATAACTTAGCCTGATTATGTCAACTGTCATTGCCAGAAAATCTCAGACATCCTGCTGTTAGTGCTGTAACCTATCGAGCAGTGCATTACATTTACAACAATATGTTCCTGACATCACTGGGAAAAGGCCGTCACTAAGGCAGCAATCATTTGCACAGGAATCCTATGTCTGCAAATGCAGCTGCTGAGCATTGGCCCGTGGCCCCGTGTTGACCCATAGGCCTCAAAACAGTTTAGCGTTCATGTTAATTGCCAGTTGCCACTGTGTGCAGGCATGTTTCCAGTTATCATTCAACTGCCTCAACATACTTTTGCTGAAAAACAAGTTTGATGAGCTTCTTCACATCTGCCTTGGATGCTTGGAGGCATCTAGGACTAGGGTAAACGCGGTATATTCCGACACATTAAGGACGCATCGAGAAATGAAAAACTATAAAAAAAATAACCGTATGCGTTACTCCAGTTCTGTTTGCTTTATGTGACTCGCAAAACACCATACTACGCGCCAGCAACAATGAAACATCACAAAATGTTGCCATATTTATTTAAAAGCCTTTAGAATGCAAACCTACCAAATCCCTATATTCTGACACTGTGTGTGGCAATATTCGGCATGTGGTGAGACGTATTCCGTCCGCGCTTCAAATTCTACTGATACGTAATGCCGTCATCCACGTGTTCGAATTCCGTTCGCTGTGTGAGCTGTATTGGAATACAACACGGCTTTGAATTAGAACACTAATGAATATTGAACACTATTTAATTTTAACTCAGGAATGAAGGTGAAATGGAAAAAATTTTACAAGCTGAACATCACCGTTAGGTCATATGAAGTTTCATCGAACTCGGATTTCATTGCTTACAAACTTTCAGATGTACGTATTGTTAAAGTGCACGAGTATCATGAATACATACAGGCATCGTAATATATTACATGCAAGCTTTCAGATGTATATATACGTAGTGTTGGAGCGCACGCATAACATGAATACAGGCCTTATGATATATTCATATATATCATATACAGACTGTCAGATGTGCGTATTAAGTTGAAGTGCGTGAATTTCATGCACACAAACATCATAATATTTTGCATACAAATTTTCAGATGTACGTAATCGGTTAAAATGCATGAATATCATGCATAAAAACACCGCAATATATTGCACACCTACATGCTCTTACATGTCAAGGTTAAAATAAAAATATAACATGCAGAAACTTTCCTCAAGAAAGTTTGATTATAGCTTCTAAGTGGAAAAAAACACTGGCGTAATCTGTCCGATTATTTTTGCAAGCTTCAATACATATGATGGTTGCGTTGTCCCGGGGCAGAACATTTTACATCCGCCGCTCGTAATGCGCTGTTGGGGTCCGGGTTTTAGTCAGTACCGAAGTCGTATCTTGTCGGGTCTCGGCCGTCTCGCTAAGTCGCTTGTTGGCAGTCGTCAGAAGTTTATTGTGGAAGAGTCCCATTAGTTGGCAGTCGTTGAAAAAGATAAATGACCTATTATTTTAGATCAAAAGTCGTTGTAAAGTAAAAAAATTGGTCGATAACTTCAGCGAAAGTCGTTGAAATTACAACGACTATTGCCATTGTATGAGACCTGGCCCATAGTGGCAAAGCAGAGAGTTTTTTAGACTCTCCCTCAAGTTCATTTTTGAGTCCTATAAGTAGACCAGTTAACTAGTATCATGGATACCAGCATTATCATACATAAGAAATTGGTTAAAGTCTTGAGTAAATGAGGGAATTAAAAATGAACTGATTCTAAAAAATCTCTGGTTTGCCAGTTGCCACTATGGTTTACCCTATGCAGTCTAGTCAGTGTCAGGTCAGGCTAGGCTAGGGCAAGGGCAGTTGTACTGTGTACAACTTGTAGTTGTACGGATGGTAACGGACCTGTAGGGCTGTAGCTGTGTAGCAACTAACAAGTACAGTACACTGTTACACGTGTGCTGCTCTGAAATCTGTATCCTGCTTGAACGTTCAGCCGCTCTGCTCTGTAAAGTGTAAAAATCCTCTAAGACTAATGTTATGAACTAGCCTCTAGGCCCTCTGGGTATGTCTTGTCAGTACTCAGTTTAAGTCAGTTATCACAACGTCGGTTCTAAGAACGCCAAGAGCCTCGAGGGATATTCAGATGATATTGAAGTAGGCTATATGAATCATAACAAACTTACCTTACCTTTTACCTCAAATGTAAATGTTCAGCGTGCGTTTATAGTGCTAGCTCACACCGTCACTGCGTCACACCGCACACGCTGACTCGCATAGTCGCATAAAGCACGAACACGATTAGCTTCAGAAACAGCTGTGCGATCCGCAAACTCAGCAACGTTTGCGGATTGAGGTTTCGTGTTCACGAATGTGTTAATCAGGACGACTCACTTGAGCTCAATATAATAAAATAATATAGCGGTTTCAGCATTTATTAGGCTGTTGACCTGTCGCCGAGTCTTAACATCATAGAACATTTACAGCTTGTTGCGGTCTCGAACGCACAAATCACTGCTCCAATTCTGCTGTACTTGACTGTCCGGCCTCCTCGCCGCTTCTGACCATAAACTGCCGCGCACACGATTGATCTATATAAAGTTGACCCACGAGAAGTTCCGTCTTTCAGTTCAGCTCTCTTGTTATGTCACGTAGATCGAGAAACGTAATAAAAGCCCGTCATTCCCATGACGGATTGGTCGACTGGTTTGATCGCATTTTGGTGATTGGTTAATGCCCGTGACGTCACTGAGATCAGTAACGTCACATGCGAACAACGAACTACATCCGCAAATACGGGCTTCCGATGGGTCTTATACTAGTTCAACCATGGTCACGCAGGGCTGGGATCGAACCCGCACCTCTCTGCTCCAATCTTGGTACCTACTAAGAACTGTAACCAATGGTCCACACTGCCCAGAATATATAAATCGCTTTAGGCGTATTTTCGACTGACAGTGTTTTAAATAGGAACTTTGGAAAGGCTATTACGAGAATGTTACGCTAAAAATATCTAATAATAAGTATACTCCAGTGAAAAATAGGTTTAAAATCCTTCGAAATAATTAAGTCGGAAATCAAGTGCACTTCGGTGTAGGTAACTAGATATAATAGGAAAAGAAAGCTTGACCCTGCTAAATGATAATCAGAACGGTTTATTTGACACGGACACAGTGTTACAAAAGTGCTGCAAATTATGACATGACTAGCTTCTATATTTCTCATAAAATTTTGAAATCATCGAAGGAAAAAAAATCAAAAGAGAACTTAAGAGTTACATAACAAAATATCAAAATGTACGCGTTTCACCATCTGAAATTAGCATTACAATATTCAATTAAGGAAAAGAAGCTCAATCTTAAAAATACAGGCATTACATCCTCTAATTGAATTTTATCCGATTAGAGGAATTCAAAATATTAATTTGAGACGGACTCAGAGAGGTAAATTTTTACACATTTGGCGATGATAGTACACAGCTGGTGATGAAGAGTAATTGTAATGAATACAAGGTTTGCTAAAGCGTTTAAGATAAAAAACGAAAAATAAAACTACTAACAAGGTAAAAAGACTCCATACACTGAAATGCCGCCTTGCAATGAAGAAAATTCCCCCGAAACAACGGAAGGAAGTCAAAAATTGACAAGCGAGTTTACGCTGGCGAAGGAACAGGCATGATTTGCATTTATCAAGGCCAAAAAGAGGCAGGTGAACAGAATCAGAAACGAAAACGCAAGCATTAAACTGCAGAAGAAATATTTCCCATAAACGAGTCAGTGTTGGGTAAGCTCCGAAATTACGAGCATAGGAACAAATAGTTAGTTAGTTAGTTAGTTCAGTAGCCACATGTTTACTAGCGCTTCAGCTATTTAGCTATCTCGCATCGAAAGTCATGTTGAACATCACCAAAGAGGTGGAAGGTCTTAATTGTCAAAAGTTTCTCAAATCAAAAAACAAGGTCTCAGATGTCCAGCCCGCTGAAACTGGTTCGAAAGAAGCAGCGTTAGCATCTCAAAGGGACTAAGTGACAAGAAGGGACAGGTGAAAAACAACAGAAACGAAGACACTCGAACAAGAGGTCGCTTACACGGGACGTCGGCCACCCGCACGAGAGAGACAGAGAAGGGAAATGCAAAGAATCCTACCTACATAATAACTTAATCCCGCAACTGAGATCCGCAGTCCGACACCGCGAGCACAGCGGTGGGCACTCAGGAACAATAGCCATAGGAGCGCAAATAGGAACAAATAGTGTAAAGAAAATTCTGAAGAGCAAAGAGCCTTGTAATAACGCCCTGCTGTGATGCCCATACCGAAAAAAAATACGAAAATTTGTCTTCATTTGCTTGTCACCAGAGAAGATTTCTACAGGAACTCGGAAGTGTGTTCTACCTACACGGTGCTACATGTGGTCGGTAATCAAACACATCCATCACACAGCGAGCTCAACCCACTTGCAACTCAAGTGTCGTCGAGGCTTCACACTGATTGAAGTTAGAGCGCAAGTGTGAATTTCGACTAAATAATATAATACGGTACGTTTTAATTACGCGTTCCTGACCAAAACACACCTATATTGAGGAAGGAAAGCAAAAGGCATAAGGAAGGACAGGGATTGAATTCAATACATATATACACATATAACTAATCAATAAAATCAAGGCGTTAAACCACAGAAAAGTGTTTTGTAAATTGACTAGACCATTTCATGATCCAAAAATGGAGGTCAGAGAAGTTTTTTCATCAAACTGTCGATTGATTTGTGAATAAAAATCCATAACATTATTTGTGACATTTTGATGTATCAATCACGATTGATATTTGTGACTAGGAAAAGATGGGTAGCCATTCTTGGTCGCCACCTGTTCAAGGAGAGGCTCAAAGGAACCCTAGAAGCGCAACCAATGCAAGCGTAACAACTGCAGAGTGCACGTGCACTTAAATTCAGAAAATGATCTATGATCATGAAAAAAATTAAGGTCAGTCAATGTGATAAACAATCAATCTGATAAATAATCAATACGCTTACTAAAATTATTAAAAAATAATAAAATAAATATTCAATTTAGTAATAATTATTAATAAATAATTTGAATAAAGTTCTGAAACAGCCAGAAAAAAAGCTAAGGAGATGGCGCTTCTTATAAACTAAGGTTGAAATTGATAAAATAAAAATCGACTATGACTGGATGGATGCACGTGAAGTTTGTAGACGACTAATTGCAAATCTGATTATGATTGATATATGACGATCGCTTATTAATAATTAAACCCGCATTTGAAATTATGACAATAAATAAGGCTGAAAAAAATCAGGAGTCGTCGAACTACAAAAGTATAAGAAATCTTGTATCTTGTAAATACACAAGCGTAAGAAAGTATCAACTTTGACTGAATGTTGTAAAAGCACTTAAAAGATATAATTACTGAAACTAATAAATGAATACTCACTATGAACATAAATGAAAATGAGTTTGTACGCAACTAATAATCAGGTTTCAAAAGTATTATTCAAGTACTACACTCAGTACCTATATCTCATATGCTACAATTAGTCGATAAACTTCTAGCGCAACTCGAGGTGGCACGCATGTAATTCGCAAAATTAAATAGATCAACACAAAATAATAACAATAGTTGAAAATAATAAATAAAATTTACCAAAAAAATATGACATAGTTAACAATTTAGAGTGAAACTAGAACAAAAACAATATATGACACGTTACGACCGTCCTGGCAGGTACAGCGGTCATGACTAGGACTCATAGGAGATTCAAAAGATATCAGAGGTACTTAGAACTGTCACTTGGCAAGTTTAAATCCACGAGGTAAACACACTTCACAAGTCAAGTTTACACAGCATAGTTTTTTATGGGGTTACTACAACAAAATAAACTTGAATAAAACAAGAACGGAAACAAAATAGCATAGTTATAATCCAGTCAGTACACACTAAGAGGCACCTTAATCCGAGATTGTCCTTTCAATATAACAAAACAAAGTGAATACTGTAGGTTGTGACAAGTTGGCTCGTTTATGGCAAAACAGTATGTTGGTTGTGACACTTAAAATACCAAAGCCAAGCAATTAACACACATAAAGTACATTTTTGATGCTAGAAATAATTCCTGTTCTAAGTACCGAATGCAAATTAAAAATAATTAGGTGACGGTTTTAATGGAACCAGCTAAAAAATAGCACTAGAATTATTACAGGATCAGTAGTAGGTACTAGAAATTGTTCACAGGCATCCAGAGTGAGTGCCGAAAAACGTTGACGAATCATCAATATAAATACTTAACCCAGAAAGAAATTTGGCAATCCAAATTAATAATGATAAAAAATACATTTATGACTACCTACTATCATTTCAAGTCGATCATAATTTATCTATAATTTTGGTTAGAACATTCCAGACATTATATTTTCTAAACCAGGGTTGTGACGCTTGCCCGATTTGGAAGCAGAGACTGTGTACAAGAAAGCCTAACAATACCATCATAAAAATTTCTACAGACACGAGTACGTTTCTTACACAAAATGACATCAGATCATCAACTTCCCATGATATAAAATGAAATGAGAATAACGCATAACATTGTCAATTTTAACCCTCTGTCTCATGACGGTAATTTTAGTTATCGATCTTACATCATTGATGACAGTTCATTTAAAGGGTCGGCAAAAATTTTATTTGCCATTCATGTAATTTCAATTAAAATTTGGCTTGTCATTTCATCTCATTATAGTTGTTTTCTTCCTAGCCGTCAGTGCAAAAATGAACAAAAACTCAGTAGCTCGTCACACAATCAACACCAGCGCATTTAAGCAGCAGAAATTAAAATAAGAGAACGCGAATATTTGTTTATCTGTCCTTAGCCGAAATTACCCTAAAATTTCCGGGTTTGTTGAAATGACATGAAAATATGGTAGTGCATTAGTTGTCAGTGGCAGTGAAAGGCTATCAGTTTAAAACTTACGCAAAGTTCTTATGTGCTGTACTATCTTATTCCTTCCACATACTGTTTAAGAAATCATTTAGTACAATAAAGTTTTTGGCTTAGAATATACCATAAAACTATTAACTGAACAAATGCCTGAGTACATAGTAGGGGGCTCCTAAAAAACCAACAAACCACCTAATTTTTGCTAAACATTTTTTTTGGAAGTGAACGATTTCCATGACCAAAGTGCACGGCAAGCAACGCAATGCGAAGGTACAAATCCTCCCTATTCATACTAATGAGAAAACCATGCATGATATTTCCTATCATATCTCAAGAAATCATCTATTACATACACCGATAAGCGAATACAGCAATGCGGGAATGGACTGAAGCTCTACGTTCACATTTCATCAATAGATTAATACAAATTCTATTGGATGATATGAATTGCGTCAATAATGGGGATGACACTAATATTAGAACGCCCCAGACAATGGCAGATAACGACTGGATCCTTGACTAGATTAGTACCAGAATAAGTGGCGGGAGAGCGCAAATGCAGCTAAGTGTAAATGAATGGCGTGGCCATTAGAGTGGATAATTTCTTATTACGATTAAATGGATGACTCGGGAGACTAGGTGAACTTTGACTCGGTTCAAGACATGACTTGACAAGTAAACATAAAATATTACACATTCAGAGGAGTAGAGTCTTGTGGTATTTGGTTTCTTCTGTGGGCACAGTGCACAGAAAACAATTTTACTGAACGCAATGACTTAAAATGGAAAACACAAACTTCATATGCCTAAACAAACCCTTTTTATAATGAATCAAATTCGCAATAGAGAGAAGGTATTGCTACTAAAGAGACAATAGAAGGACTTTACCACGATGTTGAATAATAATTCGATGCATCAAAATGACTTGGTAGGTGGTTCAAGTTTAAATGAAAATGTAAGTGAACAAAACAAAAGGATTTCTTATTCATGAGTAATACTAATAACATGATTTTATAGAGAAGCAAACACTAAAAAATTTCAATGCCAGTCAGATCACACGACATCAAGTTCCTCACTCACACACTTACAATCGAATGACTAGTATCAAGTAGAAGATTAACATAGCAGACAACTTTAGACGCTACTTGCACTTCTTATTCTGTACTATCTTTTGAGAATGATGGGCTTTGCGATGCAGTCGGAGCTGAGCATTGTCTCTTAAGGTGACATTGCACTGAGAACAACGCACTGATGTAGGTGCAGAGAACAAGTGAATCTTTTTATGCACATTCAAATGAGATGTGGTGATGAACGTGGCAGAGCATTCGGTGCAAGAAAATGGGCGTTCCCCAGTGTGGATACGACGATGGACATTCAAATGAGATGAAGTAATGAAACTTGAGTTACAATATTCACAGTTGTGAGGCTTCTCTCCCGTGTGCGTCTTCATGTGGACTTTGAGGCTGAAGGCTCGAGTGTAGGAGTTGCCACAGAGCTTGCAAGTGAAGGGTTTATCGCCGCGGTGCCTTCGAATGTGTACTTGCAATGAGCCGTTCTGAGTGAAAGTGGCTCCACACTCTTCGCATTTGAATGGCTTCTGCCAGTGAGTGTTTGAATGGATCTTTAATTCAGACCTTGATGAGAACAAAGCCTTGCACAGGCTGCACTTGAAAGCTTTGGCCCCTTCACAACTTTTTGGTAACTTTTTCAATCCATTCTTGGAGCTAACTGAAAATTTGCTAACAACTCCATTCTTAACAGCTTGCAGTGATTGTTGAGAAGCATCAGTGTCTGCAACTTGATTATCCGAACTACTCTTTGCAGCATGTGTCAGAGAGTTGCTCTTTACTCCATGTTCTAAAAGTTTATGTTTGCTAAGAAGAGATTTGTCAGAGAATTGTTCAGAGCAAACATTGCAAATGTGAGGGTTATTGAAGTGCTGTCTGATGTGCATTTGCAAAGAACTTTTCGAAGGAAATATAGCATTACATAGAGGACAAGAATTCTGTAACTTAATTAAATGATCTTCCATATGAGCATCAAGGTCATCTTTTTTTCGAAATAACAAACTGCACTCTTTACATTGGAAAGAAAGGTCTTTTTTGGACGAACTCTTCATTTTCTTACCATCATTTTTGGTGTTATGATAATTAACTTTTTGCAATTTCAGCTTGAATGTTTTTCCTGGCTGATCAATTTCTGCAAACCCTAAAACAATGTTTGGGTAGATAGTGAAGTCAGTTATCTGGCTTGGCAATGTAACATCATTTGAGAAATTGCATAAGGCATCAGTATTGGAATTTTCTTCCTTTATGTTGGAACATGAAACTATTTTATCAAGTTTCCCTACAACTTGAGTGGAGGCATCTTGAAATTTGCTAGGCTGGATGAATGTAAATAGCGAGGTTGCAGAGCCATCCCCATCTGAATTATCTTGTTCTGAGTGCAAGAGCTCTTCATTTTTTATAAAATCATCAGAGAGGACAACACCAGAGAGAGGTGATACAGAGTCACAAACTTGTAGTCCTTCAAGAGAGCCCTCATCCATAAAGGGTTTGACATCCACACATTCCTCGTGCTTCTGAAGCATAATGTCATGAGAAATGAAAGAAGTTGTGTCCAGGCCAACTTTAGGGCTGTCAAAATGACTCATAGTGAAGGAGTCCTCAATAACTGTGAAGAGCACATCAGTTGATGATGGGTTGATGAAGTGCAGCTCATTGCTAGTGCTTGGGGAGGACATAGTGCTGCCACTGATGCACCATTGGCTGCCAAGTTCTACTTCCTCCACAACCTCCTCAAAGCCACCAACTGAAATCAACAAGCATGGATTAAAAATCTGTACATAGCATATATTTTTAATAATAAGAACATTCAAATTTGTCATAATCAATTTCAAATTTGAAAAAAAACACAAGCAATAGCATAATAGATAGCTTTCCCACTGTCATGTCACAACACATGATAGGATTGGGAAAGGAAATCTGTTGAAAAAGCAACTTCTTATTTAAAAATCAGGACAAATTTTTACCTAAATCAAATTTTGATGTAGGTACTTTTGTGAAAAATTTGAAGAAGAGATATGGTTTGACATAGGTTTGTTACAAAAGTAAGGCCTATTTGTCCTGCATAAAAAGGGAATATGAGAAAAAATCTAAAACTCTACATTTTCTAGAAATCATTACAGTTATCAATTTTGAACTAGATAACAATTTACAAACTTGATGATGGCCAAGGATACCAGCACATAGATAAATGGTTTGGTATTGTTATAGCTGTTGGAGGTATTTATTTCGGAAGATAAATAAAGTAATTTTAAACTGTTTGTTTTGATGTTGAAGTTGATGTTAATGGGCATAAATCAGTAGTACCATACCTAGTTGTCTGGGCTAAAGTTTTCAAATTGTCCACAATTCCTAGAACGTGGCTCCAACTCAAAAATGTTTCACAAGCAAGGTTAAAAGTCATATAAATAGGTACAAGATTTAAATACCGGATATTTTTATGGGAGTTAAATTTTATTAGTCACAAACACATCAAAATCAAGTAAATTGAGAAAAAACAATAATGACCATTTTCAAAAAATGCAGGTCCTAATTTTTAAATACAGTAATCAAATGTGAAATATCATCTTTATAATTTACAAAGTGATTTTTTTACAGAATAGTTTCTCACCCATAATGTCAGCTGGCAACACATACTGGCACACAGTTAGTTCACTTGATATTGTGTCAGCTGAGATTGTGATAGGTGCAGTCTCAGTAGGAGAACTGTGCTTAGCTGAGCTGGATGAATCATCCACATCTGACAGGTCCGAGACAGTCGTAACTGCCATGCTTGGAGACACACCAACATTATAACTGCTTTGTTCTACCACAGCAGTCTCACCATCAAATACAAGATCAACATGTTCACTAGTCAATATTATGGGGTCAATAGAAATGCTACTGTTAGATATACAAGTGTTACTGCTGCAACTGGACATAACAATCTGTAAAAAATAAATAATTTTACAAATTTATAATTGCACATTGAAGCAGCACATCAATTGAGTATTAGATCTGACAGATAGTGTTGCCAGGGGCATTGTGCTGCTTTTATAGAATAAATTTTCAACCTTCATACTCATTTGTCTTAAATTAATTTACTTTGAATCTAATATCTCCATTAGGTAAATTCATAGAAGCAATATTTCTTCTTATGTAGCAGGCTTAGAAACAAAAAATAACTCAGTACTCACTGCAGTGAGTGAAAGTGAGCGCATTTTCTTGTCGACGAAAATGCAAAGTCATGGACAGACAGATGGACATGGCGAGCACAATAGGGCATTTTTTCCATAAATGAGAAAATGCACTAAAAATATAACTCAGTACTCACTGCAGTGAGTGACAGAGAGCGCATTTTCTCGTCGATGAAAACTTGAGGTCATGGACGGACAGACAGATGGACATGGCAAGCACAATAGTGCATTTTTTCCATAAATGAGAAAATGTGCTAAAAATGTTTATTTAAAATGTCAATATTTTTGAAAAATTTGCAATCTGTGCAAATAACTTAATTCCAAGTTGTCAGCTATTGCACCAGACTGAAATAATTAGATGGATTGTCACTCAGGAGCATCCAAGTTATTTTTCATTACATCCATTGATCTTTTTGATAATTCATTGGTCAAAAAATGATCCTTTGTCTTTCAAAGTGTTGTTTCAAGTATGGTATACCTAATTGTTCTACTTCTTATTTGCAAGATTAATTTATTAGATCATCTTCTGTCATTTGTACTGTGAAATTATTTTCTTCAGTATGCAGTTGCGTTTAGTTATAACACTTGTAATATTTAAAATGTGTCATTTTGCAGTAGATGGAAATCTGCAATGATGCACCAGTGGGTTGCATTGCACTCAAGCTGTTAATGTGTTAAGCATTAACCTTAGGGTTCTGTGTAAACTTAAATACCATGATGTATGCAAGAGTGGTGAGCTAACTATAAAATTTTATATTATGAGCCAAACTAATGATTAACTGAATCATTACATCATCAATCACAAGTTCACAACTCCACCCAGTATATGACCAAAGAACTGAAAATTACCATTGTTATGAACATGTCCCCTTTCTGACCTCAATATTTATATACTTCTAAACTTATCTAGTACAAAGAGTGCAAGGTTATCACATAGTTAAAAAAACCACTAATGCAAAATGAAACCAAACTCTGCATTGTAAAGACACATTTTGTCTTGAATGCATCTTGAACAGCAGCAATCATGTGGCTCAAAAGTCATGCATTTGTTAGTTTTGATAGGAGATATTGGGGCTTGCAAATGTATCTTTATATGGCATGTGATGATGTGAGTACCATAGGTCACTAAAGGTTATGCAAGCATGTTTTACTCATTAGGCAAGGGACTATAATGGTTAAATAGTAATTTGAATAATAGTTGCTCTGCAGATTCTGTTACCATGCAACACCCATCAGTAAGAACTTAGTGTCTGGTGCGAGGTAAGGCCCCCTTCCCAGTCCACAGTTGACTTACACCCAACCCAAGGAGGAACTACCTATCAACCATGTCAATGTCTTGTAAAGAACTATGTGGCCATTCCTTTGCTAGAATTTCAGCATGGTTTGTTTTTTATTACAGAAATTAAGCAGTTATAACACAGTCTGATGCAACACAAATCTCTGCAATCACCAATGAATCATATAAAGTTTACTTTTTAACTTATTAAGCAGGATATTTTGGCAGGAGCATGGTACTAAACTGCAGATTCATAGTCACTGTCACATGGTGCAGACAGAAGAAGGAAAATATTTGTGTTGCTTGCAGAATTTTTGTCATGTTGATTTGTAATCTCAAAACTATTTACAAATTAAAAGTTGCAAATGCATTATACAATCTTTAAGAAATATTAATAAATTTTCTAGTATTTTCCTATGATAAGGAAATGTTTTTATTGGGTACTGTCCATTTTAAGAAATATTTTCTTTTTCCTGTAATGACTAATGTGGTGACATTAGTGCCATTGACGATTTGAGGGTAGATAAATAAACTGTTTTCTAATCTTTAGCATGAGCACAAGTGTACTAACAGTACAATTAAACTTTCAAATACCAAATGTATTGAATATATGTTACTTAGAGTTAGGAACTATAAGATTTCAGTAATAAATTGGAAATTTTTAATCCCAGGTTTCACAGGCATTTCCTGAATATTGCCGGCAAAAGTAAGCCGTGATTCTTATTTTTCACTTCACTAAAAAAATTGAGGCAGGATGGAATTCTAATATTGACGGTTCATATATTATTCCCGATACACCTACACCAGTTTTTTGATACAACATTATTTGAGGCAAAAAAATGAACTTCTTATAGACTTAAAACACGTATGGGTATGCTAAGTTTCTATAAGATAATTCACTTCATCACTTGGAAATGTTGCGTGCCAGCAAGGCTGCAGGCGCAGCTTTCACTCAACAATTAAAATTATACAAAGTATTAGTTCGTTAAAGATTTGTCTCTTAATAAGACTGCAAAGAAGTAAACTTAATAAAGTAATTACAGCTACCGTGACTACGCTGTCAAGCAGACTTTTCGATGATGCACGCACTAAACACGCAATTCATGGGAGCGAGAATACATAGAACAACAAAAGCAGTCGCCCGGCATGCAACTGCGAAAACAAATGACGATCGCGGCAGCGGCGGCACGGATCATAACGTTAATATAGTCAATGCAAGAGAATGATTAATTATGATATTTCTGATAGAGATTTGAAATATTTTCGGAAGCCTAAAACTTGTCTCTTATACACATCTAGATGTGTATAAGAGACAGATGTAGTGCGTGGCGTGTTATGTGTGGCGTGTAGTGTGTAGCGTGTGATGTGTAGCGTGTATCGTGTTCCATAGATATGCCTCTCACGCCGAGGCTACATTTGGGCCATTTGGCGGAACTAAAAAAATATTTCTGCCCGAGGCAGGAATGACCTCAATTTTCGTGTCATCACGAGGAAAATGCCTGATATGTCGAGCAATGCGCAGTATTTCGATGTAATACTCTAAAACATAAAAAATTCCTCGATTTACGAACACATCAATAGTACCTAGAAGTATAAAACACAATGCTGAGGACTCCGGGGCCATACTTTCAAAAAAAGTTAAGAGATCGTAAGTTCATCAGNCGACACATTTAGATTGAAATTCTTGCATTTAATATATTTCTCAGTCTTCAGCCAACTATTTAGAAAAAAAGTAAGGTTTCCGGTACGTTGGATGGATTACGATGCATCGAAGCTTGTCCGGAAATCAGTTGCGATGAGTTCCCGCAAAAAATGTAAACAACATTTTTTTGATTGCATAGTTTCGGTTGCATTAGAGCGGTCAGACTGCTTTATTACTTGTTCAGTTGACACTTGCTGTACAACCGGACTGTTTTTAGGGTAAAATTAGTTATTTGGGGTAACACGTGCATGCAACCTTGTAATAAGTTCGTGGCTTGTAAATAGTTCGTCATTACTCAGCGTAAATGGCTTTTCATTAAAAATTACCCGGCGACGCATCTTTAAAACGGCCGGCGACGCTTTGGGCTTAAAAATCCATATATTGCCGACGCTGCATGATGCAGCGTTGGCAATATATGGATGCAGGGTGGATGCAGCCTGCATCCACCCTCTCCCTCTGCATAGTGGAGGTGACGGAATCATAGTGGCAAAGCAGAGAGTTTTTTAGACTCTTCCTCAAGTTCATTTTTGAGTCCTATAAGTAGACCAGTAAAGTATCTTGGATACCAGAATTATCATACATAAGAAATCTGTTAAAATCTTGAGTAAATGAGGAAATTAAAAATGAACTGATTCTAAAAAAATCACTGGTTTGCCACTATGGACGGAATTACCTACGATGTCGGAATATACCGCGTTTACCCTACTGATTATTTATTGAGGTATAGCTAATAGCCATATGAATGGTTGACATTGACAATGATTGAATTATTTGAATATATTATAGCTATCAGTATCAATATCATTCTGATTCTTGTCTCATTCATGGGTGGCTTGCATGGTTGCACCCTATTTTACAGTCTGGATTGAACTTGGAAGCCACAAGATTTCAGTAGAACTAGAACTTTACAAGGAATAAGGGAATTTGGGAATGAGCATTGAGCTACATAGAGCTAACAAATCCTTTCAAAAGCTTGACTGCACAAGGATTCAGATTACAAATCTGACAGGTTCATATGCAGCCTTGAACCTTATTCAGGAAATATGATATGGATTAGGCTATGGTAGAGACTAGAGTGTAACTGTAAACTGTGTAACTTGGGTCGTCAAGTGATGAGCAATTTTTCTCTATCAGCGATTGTAGGATATATAGCAATAATTAGTTTTGGTTGCTGCCTGATGGACTGTTAGCAGTTAGCGTTTTGACCGAGAGACAGTTCGGCTCGGAAAACATGATTATGATTCACGATTATAGCCTTGATAACTTGGAAACTTGGCCGTTGACGATTGAAGACTGCAGAGAATCTCAACTGTCAAGTTGTCAACTCAACCTTACACATCACACTAAGACTAGGACACTGTCGATTTTTTTTTTAATTCACTGAAATTCCTGATTAAAAGTCCATCTATTATTTTATATACTCTTATCCTTCTCTCGGAGAATTGAAGATTCTAATTAGAAGAGGAAAATAATCGGTAAAACTTTTTGTCACCTATGTTGAGCGATTGATCTCACAAAGCTTATTCCGCAGTTCTTCCAACACAAGTTTTCCCGGATACAAAATGACAACAAAACAAATTTTAATCGCAATAGAAATAACTACCTACATGAATACAAAACTGTTAGCGAACGTTTTACATACCTTCAGTAAGCTGCATGTGATTTTAACAGTCAGCATCAGTGCCACTAATCAGAATCTATACCTGGATAAATAAGGCGCAATAACCCTATAGGAACTGAGGACAATAATTCAGGTTTACCCTTCATGGGGTAAAGTAAACCCCAGCAAACTCAGTTTACCCGAGCTATGTTTACTCCTCAGCAAACTAAGTTTACCCGAGCGGTGAAAAAACTGTGCCAGCAGGCAAAACCAAAGAGCGCATTGAACATGCAAGTACATACTAGTAGTATGGTATCTTCGGCATTGAAGAATATGCCTGGATGGGCCTGTCGCCGATTCTTGTATTTTTCTTGACTAGACCGGCCTTTAGATCAAATCTTTTCAACGGACGGCAGATTTAAAATCTGCTTCTAGATTTCAGTTGTTCCGTAGGATACGAGGCATTTTAAGATTAAACATATGCTCCTGCATGGCCTTGTCTAGTCTGTTCTTGAACGCGTTCATACTCGGAGCATCAACAAAATCTTCAGGGAGGCTGTACCACATGTCGGTGACTCGAAACGAGAAGAAATTTTGTCGCGTGGATTAGTTGCACCGCAGTTTTTTTTTAGTTTGTAGCTGTGGCCCCTGGTGTTGGTTCTTGTTTCAAATTCTAGTAGTCCTTCTGGGACCTTGTACAAACCATAAGTATACTTGTATAATTCAATGAGGTCACCACGCAGGCGACGATAACGGAGACTGGAAAGCTTCATAATCTTCAATCTATCTTCATAAGACTTGCCCTTCAAGCCTGGAATTATCCTTGTTGTACGTCTTTGAACACTCGCAACTAAATTTATGTCCTTTTCAAGTCTCCTGATACTAGGTCCTTGGAAAGTGCAAGTGTCCTGATACTAGGGAGACGTCAGCCCAGTGGTTACAGTTCAGAGTACAAAGATTGGAGCAGAGAGGTGCGGTTTCGATCCCAGCTCTGTGCGCCGATTTCTGTGGTCAGAATCGGCGAGGCCGAGCGGTTAATTAATCACAGCAGTATTGTAGCAGTGAGTTGCGCGTTCGAGACCGCGTTCGCTATTGCAGTGGACTTCATGTGACCAGTTTTCAGAATTGTTTTCTAATACGCAACGATCCTTAAAGATCACTTTAGTATCGAAAACGCCGCAAGTCACTAACACGGACACAAGCATACTATTCGAGTGCGCGTCCTCGAATACACAACTACCCTCTACTCTAACATGCATGCAAAACAAAGTGGTATCCTTTCCTTCAGTCTTCAAACCCTCCTACAGCATGAAAAGCTTCTATATAGGCCTTTTCACATCCTTTTTAGAGAATAAAGGCAGTTGTTCACCAAGTTCTCATGTGCAAAAATTGCCTTTTTAATCAGTCAAATATTAGTTAAGCTTTTTTGCTTTTGTGTCCGTGCAATTACTCTTATTCACATAACTAAAATTACGGCGAAAAATATTAAATTCTTAATATATTCAAATAATCTTCTTCGATTTAGTCGTTCGCGCTAAGATGGTGTAGGTAATCCTAACCAAAACTCTCAATATTGATTCTACGGTTACGCGAATCCACCGAAATTCGCTAAATGAAGGAGCCGATGGAGCGTACGGTGAATGACGTCAAGGTTGACGCATCAATGCGTCACCTAAACTACGAAGTCTTGCAGCGAACTAGATCAGTGGTACAGAAACAGGTCAGTCGTATGGAAAGGAAATTCTAGGTTTTTTCCACCATTCAAGAAAAATCAATTTGTATGCAATCATTTCAGTAATATGGATATAATTTCACAAATATTAATCTACTATGCTCAGATCCAGAACAATCCTAGTCGAATTTAGTTAAAACAACTTCCTCGACAATAAAATGCGTCATTCTAGTTACCGGATTTTCAGTATTAACCAACTATTAAGTGTAAAGATTCAGTCCTGTGGGAAGGTTTGGTCCTAACAGGATGCAAAACGGAGAAAGACCACCTGATATCGGGCCGGCTACTAGGTAGTTAACTGGATAAAAGTTAATAAAACTGAATCGGAAGCTGGCAAAACACTGTAGGTTGACGACGGGAGTATAAATGTACATCAGCGAAGTCCTGCAGTCCTCGATCCCAGTATTCTCCCGTTATAACCTCCATATCAATCATCGGACGTCTTCACCAAAGTCTGGATACATTGGCGGCGACTCATTTCTGTCCAAACCAAGTCATAACTCACGTGGCTCAAATTTTTTTCTTAGAGATTTTGTCAGAAGTGAGGACAAGAATGCTATATATTATAAATAAATTAGCGGCATTCTTTGGCGTCAAATGCTCAGTAAATTACTTTTAATTGGCTATTTATTTTCTCCATCATATTTACCACATTCGTACATCACTTATTTCTTATTTGATTTCACATGGAATTTCGCAAATGAACGTGAGGAAAGAAGATTTGTTTATTGAAGAATTTTTCTAGTGACAAGAAAATAGAACAATTTAAAAAAAATTTAAATTTCTTCATATTCAATAAAAATTTCAAAGTGTATAATAAAATCGTAATTGACGTTAATAAAACATTTTAAGCGAAAATATTCCCACTGAATAACGTACAACTCGTATTTTTGAACAGCATATGCGAACAATTATCACATCGTATCTATCGTATCTATTATGCTAATGAATGATAAGGCAAATAAAAAAAGCAGCAAATTTTTTCATCTACTGAAGTTTAAACAGAAATAGTTACAAACGAACGTTACTAAGAATAAAAATATCAGTCTCCATTCTAAAACTTCTCAGGCAATCAGGTGGCTGTTTATTGGACACTTGTCTTGTTGCTCACCGCCCACTAAACTAATTAATTTTCGATCTTACTGGCCGCTCCTAAAGTATCCAATACTCCTCCTCTACACGAAGCCAGAAGAACGAGAATTATTAGTGGCGGTCAGTACTGGCTTCGAATGTAAGGGTCCTAAGCTTATATGAAATACTCATCTTGAGTAATTTTCTTCCAAAAGGATGAACTTTAGGGCGCTGTCTACGTTAAAAATATAAATGATGAACTTTACGGGGCCCTGTCTATATTAAAAATATAAAATTGTACTCGTCTTGAGTAATTTTTTAGCGCATTTTCTCATTTATGGAAAAAGGCGCTATTGTGCTCGCCATGTCCGTCTGTCCCTGACCTCAAGTTTTCGTCGACGAGAAAATGCACTCTCTGTCACTCACTGCAGTGAATACAGAGTTATATTTTTTCCAATATGATGTGCTCTACAGGGCGCTGTCTATATTAAAAAATATAAAAATATAGTTGTGTTAGCGTCGATTAGGCCATGTTGGCATTTAGCCAATTTGTAACAACCAGGCCGGCCCTCTTGCCGAACTCAACGGGAATTTCCGCAACATGTTGAGGGGTTTCGAACCCGCAACTCTCAGTTCCCAATCTGAATTTGGTTATCTCGATCACTCGGCCATCGCAAGTGTACTTCACGATTCAACTGCATATTGCATTTAACTTTTTAATTCATTTATAAAAATACCTTACTTGGTACTTAGTAATTAACCTAAAAGGTTCCTGAAGGATCATTACCGTGTTAATGGAGAACCCCCAAGTTTGTTGGTAAGGGTGTTTTGGATTTACCATCCGTAAGACTTGGGCGATTCGTAGTCGTTTCACTTGATTGTGCGCGATTTGATGATTCGAATTTCATTTTGTTGAGAGCGGTTGAAGTTGCATAATCTGGAGGTAAGTCTGGGCAGAGTGAAGTGATGTCTGCGTAGTTTACAAACCGGGCATTCGGCCTCGAGTTTCCTACAGCAAAGAGCAGGGGAGGCGTTTGGCAGTATAGCTCCGAGAGCGGTAAGTTTAGATGAGCAGCTGCTGTTGCTTCAGTGTACTTATTTCTTCGTTTTAGTTGCTTCGAATACTTCTTTATAATTACAAGACACGCTGATGCCGCGCCAAGAGCGACAACTGACACCAAAACACTGATGTATTTCCCCGACATTCCTGCGATGACAGCGTCGTATAAAATCGAGCCCATGATGATGAGGAGGAGCACTACCCACGGCACCAACAACCCAGGCCGTTCCTGGTAAAATAGAACCTCATTAAACGATGGGACAGCTTTTCAAAATGAAAACATGTTTATGGCTGATTTAAACGAAATTTTGGTTCGGGTAATCTGTGATAACTCATGAATGTGTCGTGCGTACAGTGGAGTGAAGCTCGCTGCATACGTATATAAATGCTTTATTGTAAAAGGGTTTTTATAATTTATTAAATCTCGAAATTAATTTATCTGACTGCATGAATAATTAATTCTAGAGAAAGTTGGCATCGGTAAAATTCAGAATTTTTGAACGAAATTAGCAAATTCGATCACAGTATTATTTATTACTTTACCTTGACAGCTCCCATCACGAGCATGATTGAGAAAAGAAGCAGCAGAAGCCAGATGGTAATTTGCACCAGCAAGAATACTCGACCTGAATAGAGAAAATGCGTAAAATTATGTTTCAAATAAATGCCAATAAAAAATTTCTTACATTGTCACTGAATTTACCCTCTACATCAGTAATGGTGCTGATAATAATACTGCAAATCTTCAAGCGAATCTTTCTTCGTTTACTGGAGCTGATAAAAATTATAATTCTAAAAAAATTATCGAAACAATTGTCGAAATTAATTTTTAACACACTAGAGAGAGCAAATGAAGCGTTGACGAAGAGTTCACAAGGCAGCAACTTAAGCACGTCTGATGCGCTGCTGGCATCGTCTCGCTTGCACGACTGCATGTGATCCTCCAACGTGATGTACGTCGCCACCACCGACACGCATGAGATGGCGGCCAAAATCTGAAATATTTAATCAATTACTTTTCGGCTGAAGCCAGAGTAAAAAAAAACAGTAAATCAACGTGTGGTAATCAAAGCGAAAGTAATTACGTTAAAATTGGTTACAGAAACATGCATAGAGGAAAATACAGACGAAGTATAAAGGAAATTTGTTTTTACAAGTGGATTCAACATGTAACAAATTTGCTGACCAAATACAAAATTTCATTTCGTTTAAGCTATAAAATTTATGACTAGAAGCTAATATCTTTCTTATGTAACTTCTAACCCGGAAACACAAAATATTTTCAAGGTTCACTTAACTACGGGACTGCTAATTAATTCTATTGGGAGCAGACTTCCGTGTTGCAAGGCTGACCGTGGTTGTTGAAACCGCTAAAGAGTAGCAAGTGTGAGCTTCATTGATAATTTAATTCAATTGAGGGTAGATTCTCTATAAATAATGTACATAATGATGGCAGATTGCTAGATCTTTCTCCAGATTGTCATAGTATAGTAGCGGACGTCGTGTTCCAATTTCAGCTCATAGGGAGCGACTTCTCTTACTGTACGGCGTCAATATTTGAATGGATCAAGTGAAGAGTCGTGCGCAGATAAATTACAGAATCAACCAACGTCGTCAGCTGTTTGTAGGCATTGTACGGAACACATCTTTGTCTTGCGATTCGTGTTGAACGTCGTCTGACGATGAATGGCTGTTACAGCAACGAGCAACGTCGTTCCCTGATGACGACTAGAGCATGGCCATGTTGCGGAGGTGCTTCATCACAACAGCGGCCAAGTATCGCTTCGATCTATGAGAGTGTCTCTTGTTTGAGTGCTCCCTCGGGGACCGTCTTATCGTAGCTTAAACTGAAGGCCAGGTCACCTCAAGGCTGACGTTCCTGCCGCACCGAAATGTGATGGTCGCTCACTGGGCCCGTGGGTGTTCTCATGAAGATTAGGTCATCATGACTCGGGGGCAATACATGTGCAGCTAGCACTATAGACTATAGTCGTAATAAGATATTTCTCAATTGTTCGAGTTAGTGCATAAAATAGCCGTACGGGGCTGAACAGATAAAAATGTAGTTAAATTTGGTGTTATTTGATGAATTTAATAGATGGATTCAAATAATGCCTATCAAAGCAGGATCGATGTACAAACATATTAAATAAATTCGAGTAATATAAACTACCTTCTTTGCAATTTGAACGTAAAGTTCTTTACTTTCGAAGTAAAAAAGCTTGAAAAATAAGTGAACCCGATATACAATGAATGGGTTAAGGTGCAAGCCTAAAGAAGTGACTCGAACATAACACATTTACGTCCAAAGCAGACTGTGTACATAATTAGTCTGAGTCGTCCGAGGCATGATCTCAAATAACACTAAGCTGGCTGCAATATGGCAGAAATCGCTTTGCCAGCCCCACTCCGTGAACATAGCGGCACTCTAATTGAACTCGTGCGTTAATTAATGTTGATACATGATGCGGGTGGAAGTTTTCGAAGAATGGCGCTTTGACTGAATGTAATGGTCACCGCTCAGCGTACACACCATGTCGTGAATATTTATGAAGTAAGTCCCCTACGAGATAACGAATACTATCAAAAATCAGTCTGACGAGACCACCGCGCACAAGAACCTCTTATTAATGACGGCCCTCTGCCCTCTGTGGCTTGGTATACTCTCCTTCTATTATGTGTGCAATATACGAGACGCATGTAATATAAGGCGTTGGTCGAGAGTAGACCTCTTAACTTTTGACAGACGACCATTCCATCGAGGCTTGTGAGGAGAACGATTCTTTTATATCTCTGCGCCCCCTATGATATCAAATGGTGCTTTGTTTATGTTGGATGATTTGCTACAATAAGTTTCATGGTCATTTAAAAAGAGTGCATTGAAATAATTCAATGAATAATTCCCAAAAGATTTGTTATTCTTTGATATTAAATAGGTAATATTTTTTTCTAGGACGTGTCTTTCTCTTTGCAGGATAAAGTTTATTGGAAAATATTCTACATAATACCAATTTTATCTTAATTTCTAAAAAATACACCAAGATTTCATCTTCAATGAGCTATTATTATAATCCCGGAATGGTGAATTCACTTATGAAGATCGACTCTTTCAGCCAGATTAATGTTAATCAGTGGACAGACTCCCTGCTAACACCCGTGGTTAAATAATATACTAATTCAACCATGGCTAACACCTACTGGATACTTCAATGATCACGACGGTGGTCGAATCGAACACTCAGACTCGTCAATGGCCATGGTGCCAACCTTCACAATGATTCATTAATGGACATTACACACGTCGTCTCACACTCCCGGATTCATCAATGGTCGGGGCGCCAGTCTCGTTCATGATAAGGATTCACTCGTACATGGCGCCCGACACCTGCGGAAATCTGCCATTTGTTGTTTGCTTTGCTGTGTGAAGCTGCGGGTGATGACGTCGTACGCACAGAGGCGTGCATAGACAGCGTCACCGATGAATAGATTTCCGTTCAGAAGCGAGGAATGTCATTCCTTCAGCGCAGGGGTTCGGTATATAGCAAACACAGTTGATGGAAATATGGCAGCTCTGCATAAAGGATTCATTGTGTTTGTTAGGTGATGTGGGGTGCATTAAGACTGTGAAGAAGGTCAATTAATTAATTTAGGTGTTCTCGGCATCCCGATTTTTGCTTGTGTTCCCTTACGCGAATCAGTTTAATTTTGGAAATCTCTGAATATTATAAATCAGTCGAAGCACAATCATCGACGCAACTCTGTCATCCAAGAATTAAAGAATCTAAAATTCAAGTCTTCTTGTGATAACTAAGCAAATGTCAGATTATTTAATGGTTTCATATCCCAATGGCATAGAAATCAGAAAGAAACTATTATAAAAAAAATTGCAAGAAGATTTAGCACTTTAATGAAAAGTTGCAGAAACCGTTCCTACCAAGCCGTCTTGTTAATAAATATGCATAATTTTCTTCCCTGAACTAAGAAAATTGTGCCTCAAGTACAAAATACGTGTTGATCTGCTACCAAGTAATAACCAATGCCGGCTCTCTTTTAATAAAAAATAATGTTATGTCCTGTGAACATCGTGAATTAAGCCGCGTTCATCTCAAGAGCACATTGCAGTATAGTGGGGCAGCTACCTACAATGATGGTTTTATGAACACTTCGACCTAAGCAAACATTATATCAGTTCCCTAATGGCACGATTGCCTTGTGCGCCTCTTGAGAACCACAGAAGATCAATTACATCAGACGGCGCACTGTGTGCATTGCGTTCTTGACAATCTGTTGATATATTTTCTCTGTCATGGTTCCGGGTTTCCATTTTGTATTTGTTGTTCTCCATTTTGTTCAATGTATGAGTACTCTGAAATTTCGAACGACTTGCTACTTTTAAGATTTACTTTATTGTTTTATTAACTCGGCGAAAATCTAAAAATATTTTTGCGGTGTTCAACAAGCATTGATCATTTAATTTCGCTTGGTCCTATTGTAATTGTTTATGCCCAATTTGTACATCGGAATGGTGCGCTTGCTACGTGCGAGTATAATTAAAGAACTAGAAGTTTATGTTTCACATAACTTTTTAATGGTTAATTATAGCTTCTGTCTTAAACTTACCTATTAGGCATTTAAAATCCTTTACACATGCATTTAAGTTACTATTAATGAATGTCATAAATAATAATCATTCTCCGGCGCTGATCGGAGAACGCGGAAGAGACTTAGTAAAATCTCAAGCAAATCAGAGAGGCGAATTATCGCTTGGAACACACTTGCAAGTATAACCGAAATCATATATACAAAGAAAAATAATTACAAAATGTTAATTATAGTCTAATCACTCACCCCTGTTACTACCCCAATTACGATGACGCATTTCTGAGCGCTGCAGCATGCAGAAGTCATGTTGATTTTACAACCACAAAATGAATTTTAATGCCACAAAATGAATTTTAATGCCACAAAATGAATTTTAATAATTATGAGAATATATACGATTGACTTGTACCAAAAACAAATGGAAGCATATTCACAGAGACAAATAATGCTTTGGAAATTGATATTGCAATAACTGCACACTTTGAAATAAAAAGTTTTGCAAATCCTGACGGCTTGTAAATGCTGTCGTAACGTTATTGATAATAATTTAGTACATGCTACATTCAAGGTGTATGCTCCTCGCAATGAAGTTTATTAATACAATTTTCATATAAATTCCGTTTCCAGTTGTTTCAAAAGAAAATAGTTAAAATTATATCTATTATAATTGAAAATGTAAATTTTACACGATTTTATTTTAACTACATTCTAAGTCACTTGAAGCTTTTAGGGTAGTAAACGTGAATTGTAAACCGTCCCATTCCGATTGGATCAACATTTCTCTGTGCTCGCACGCGGGCTCAAAAGAAAAACGAAACTAATGCGCAGCACCTCAAGAGAGTCCTTCGATTCGAATTCGATTTGCGTTTAGAAATAATTATTTGCGATACCGCGATAACTTTCGACAAATTAAAAAGCTCCAACACCAGATCGTTAAGGTGTTACTTTACTTTTCTTATCAATATGAACGGAGATATGAATAAACGAAGATAATTTTGGAAATGATAGTTAGAATCAATGCACTGCTGACAACTTAGGAGGTTTGCAAAAATTCGGCGCATTAGTCGCGCTTTGCGTTTGAACCCGCCGACAGGCTCAAGAAGTGTTGATCCAGCCAAAGCTGATGGAATCATTGCATATTTGAAATATTAGTTTTAGGAGTTCCTGATTAATAAGGAATACTCCACGCAAGAGCACTTATTTCACTTTATGATAAATTTTGCTATAGATCATAAAATTGAAATAAAAAGTTAATAAATTCAGTATTTTAACACCATCTTTGCAGTTTGCGTAAGTAGATGATTCACACTGAGAAATCTTATGTGCGGTGAAATTAGGTTTTGAATGTAGCTTTATTCACATTCCCTCTATTTAATGGACGCGCGATAACAGGATTTATAGAACCACTATGAACAGGAGGGAACACCAGCGCTCCAAGCGCGCTACCTGCCAGAATGACGGTGTGGATCGAACTTGAGCGTCGTGGTCTGTGCCTCTGTGGTGGTCATAGCTTGCGTCGACGGTATCCTTTGCTGAGTTTGCTCAACAACAACTCTACGTCTAGTGCCGCAGAGCGCAGACAAGCGGATGCCGATCCAAAGCACGAGAATGTACTGAGAAAGCTGGTCGACACTGAGGTTAGTGCTAGTAATCTGCACCACCATGCTTATTGCGATTTGTGTACCTTTAGAACTAGAAGAATTTACCTACTACGGTAGTAACGCTAACGGTACAAATGAATAACTTGGGCGCTCACCCCTAGTCACCGTCTCGCGAAACAACTCGTAGGCCTACTATCATGATTCAACTATTTCAACAGATTCATGTTTATTAAAATAGGTATTATTGAGATTCCTGTTCATAATATGGTCTATCGCTGATGTATAACAGTAATATTATGTTTAAGTATTCAATTTTTATATTTTTGTTGATTCTAGTACCTATACGTGTCTTGGTAATTGGTAGCATACTAGCATGGTATGTACCTATATTGCATAATCATCATAATGTATAGATCTTTTACTACATAGAGCTTCAATTTAAAAAAATTAAGATATGTTTCTAGTGGAGAGACTGGAGACTGATGATTTAAAAACTTTTTAATAACGCTAAGCCTCTAACACAAAATTCTTTAAAGAAGTCTTGGCAAGTTGGCTGCCACATTTTTTTTTGCAACTGTACTGTGGTGGAACACTTATTCATTCTGATAGGGCCAGGTACTGATGAATGGAGGCAAACAAGAGACTTTTGAAACAAATTTACTTTTATTCCTGATCTTGAAGCTTTCATCTTTTATTTAATATCATGTGTTTAAGTGTATGTAAATGCTTGCATCGATGATACATTTACTGGTCTACTTATAGAACTTAATAAGGAAGGTCAACACAAATGTCTCATTTACCTTTACCACTGTGTGAATGTGTGATAGGGATGTAATCTGACATATTGTCTTTTATTCATGAATATGCAAAAAAAGGCTGTTTTATGCACTTTTATGCCTTTCTTAGATATAATATGCCATATTGAATTTGTATTGGTAAATGATAACTGATTTATTCTGTTCCTTTTGATATACATGTGTCAATATATTCCTTCACAGATGACAAACACTCCCAACATTAAAAAACTTGGTCGTCAGCCAAGCCATCGCCGACCACCTGTAGAGAAAGGGCGATGGGCTTCCAAGGGAACTAAACCACTGCCTGAACAGCAATCCATCAAGTTCATTATTGGTGTTATTATCACTCATTTGTGTCGGAAGGTTCTTTTTATTGAGACAAGAGTAAAAATTACTCTTTATTCACTAGCTCTTTTCTTTGGCTCATTAGTGTTTGATTTTGTGCCTATGCCAAGAACATACATGTCATCAAAAGAAAGTATTTTCAATGTATACTTCATGAAAATTGGTTGGGCTTGGCTCATATTCATTGTTGGTAGTTTTGTGTACTTGACCAGTGCAACATATGGATGTGGCAAGAGGAATATCATTCAGCAGCATATGATCCGACTCATCATAGGTAATTTTTATTATAAATAAACTTGTTTATTCACTGCATTTGTATGTTTGAATATTTTATCATATCCCATAAATGTCTTAAAAATGACTTTTGGCTGATGAAATCTATTGACTAACATATTACAATACCTGCTAGTATTGTAATATGTTAGTCATTAGTTCATTCCTAGGAATTGGTCAAATTTATCATTAATACCTACCTTAAAAATTAAAATTTCCTAATTTTTAAGTATCCTTCTATGAAAGATTCAAGATTGATGTACGTAGGTACTGTACAAATTTAAGTCACAAATATTTTTTTCTCTCAATGGAGTAAAGAATTGTATTCCAGTATCTACTGACATTCTATTTTCTTTGATATTCATATATACATTGTTCCAGGCACTGGCATGTGGGGCTTGATGACCAAATGGCTGTTTGTGACTTTAGAACAAGCAACTGGTACATGCCTAGGAAAAGCTGCAATTGATGACAAGTGGCTCTGTGTCACCTCAGGCTTCCAGTGGCATTCGTTTGATGTTTCAGGTATGACTAGACTTGGCATGTGTTGGTTAATGCCACACCCCAATGCTGAGCTACTTAAAAATGTTTGAAGAGTGATAATGACAATTGTTGTATTGTGTGCTATAAATTTCCAGCAATTCTCTCTGTGGATAGGCAGGTACCATTCCTTGTGTTTTCTTTGTCACTTCTCATTTAGGAATAATTGACTAGTAGTGTAGCATTTATCTGTACGCTGTTTGAAGAAACTAGTTCAATAATTAAAGCAAGAGTATTATTAACACAAGTTGATGATTAGTCTACTTCTTTCCAGCACTCAAATGTGGAACTAAACTATAAATGTATCGGCTAAAGTAGACGGGACTATATTAGGAATTAGAAGCTTTTTCTGATCAGTGTTCCTTTGTATTGAGCAGGTCATGCATTCCTGTTGATTTACATGAACCTGGTGACAGTGGAAGAAGCTACTTACTTTATTATTCTGCCCTTTGTCTGTAAATTTAGGTTTTTAACTTCTGTGTGTGTTTTTTTATTAACTCCAAACTAATTTTCTGCATTTATGTGTTCTAGATTTATCGAACTGACGATGGAGCTGGTCTCCGAAACGTTTTAAAAAAAGATATGCTAAATTTTTGTGGTGTTTTCTTCGCTTTAAAATTTTTAGAGTTTCTGATTTTAGGCTGATGCAGAATTATTCATAAATTTTTTGGTCCAAAAATTATTTGGTGCAATTTTTTCTGACTGGATCATTGTGATGTTCTGTACATTAATTTGGTGTAGAAAAATTCAAGAATAGGCTGGGGGTCGAGAAGTTAATTATTTGTCTCTTCAAACAGTTACACTATATTTTAAAAAAATGTGTTTTATCTCTGCATAGCTTAGCTCTCCTCAAATTAAGTATTGATAATATTTGTATAAGACATTTATCTCTGCAATTCAGTGATGTAACCAAGTCGATATTCATGTGCAGGTAGTGGTGCAGAGAATGGTGCTGGCAGCAGTAGTGCTGAAAGTGGATCCTGGTCTTCATCCTCAGGCCAGAATAAGACTGAGTCTGACCATTCATCTGCTGAGACTCCTTTGCGCTCTTTAACCAATAATGAGTTCTCTACTTTTAAGGTAAGGTTATGAATTTTTCAACCAGAATTTCAATAAATTTATAATATGCAATTGCTGTTGTTTGTTCTTGTTGTAGTTCTGTTCTTGATTATGCAATTTTTTCAAATTTAAATGCTTCTTTGGTGCAATGATGTCGGTACCCTGGCTCAGTAATGAAGAATTTTATGCTTTCAGGACTTGAACGCCATTTAGCATGTTTTATACTAGAGCTTTAATTACTTTTCAGTCATATACGTATCATATTTCAGTCAGTCTTATCAATCATATATTATATAAATGTCCTTGAGCATGAAAGCCCGTTTAGTGTAACTCCCATATTCTTTGTCTTGAATAGTATGCAGAACGCTCCTTGTTGAAATTCAGCTGCTGTCTCTGTCATGCCATTAGATTTTACTTAACTTGTAGGTAGCTCACGCAAACTCAGAACTATCTGTGCACTTACAGGCTTTCTCAGTGACAATTTTGAGAGAATTTCTATAACGAAAATTCAATGATTGCAGGAACACTACGAGGTTTTCACACCGTACATACGCGTGCTGTTCATCTGCATGACGCTGCTGTCGCTGTGGTGCGACGTGCTGCTCGCGTGTACGGTTGTCTACTTCCACACCATGCCGCAGAAGGTTGTGGGCGGTGCCTGTGCAATGGCTGCTTGGTACATCACGTACAGGTGATTCGTGAATGTTACAATCGGTTATTATGAAAGTATGAACAATAATTCTAGGGGTTTATATTACTTTATTTGCTACTTGGGGTTTATACTAACTAATTTTCTTACAGAAGTTTAGACTTCATGTACAGGTGATTTGTGAGTGTTTGAATCGACTATGAAAGTATGAACAATAATTCTAGGGGTTTGAATTATTTTATTGGCTACTGGGGTTTATACTAACTAATTTACGTACTGGTGTTTAGACTTCACGTACAGGTGATTTGTGCTGCATGTTAGAATCGGTTATGAAAGTATGAACAATAATTCTAGGGGTTTATATTATTTTATTTGCTCCATGGGGTTTATACTAACTAATTTACTAACAGAAGTTAAGACTAACTCAATTTACTTCCAACAGTTTTTCATAAAAAGTTTCCTTGGGTTTATTTGTTTCCTTGGGTATATACAACAAGTATATCAGAAATATTTACAATTTGTTAAAGTTCGTACACAAAGTCTTCTCGACGTCAACTTCATGGCTTCCTTGAAATACAACTTTGTAATATAGAAAAGTTAACTATCAATATCAAGTAAATAATTTATATATTACCTATTAGTAATTTAATCATAATTTACTTATTTCTTTGCACATTATATAATTTCGGCATTTCCATCCCCCAGAGTTATGTTCAAGAATCAGTGGCCTGGACTGCCTGGTGACGGAGGACTTGTGCGCTACCAAGGCACCAAAGAGAAACCTAAGGAGGTGTCTCAGACCAAGAAAAAACCTGTCATTCTCACGAAGGTTGGTTTTTTTAGTCGGATTCAGAACAAAGGAATGTGGTTTTTGTTATTACTTTCTATTTAAAATTTTTTTTTTTTTTTCTATGAATTGGTTTTCCCACTTGTTGCCTTTTTGATTATTGTGTTATGATTTCTGAAGTATTCAAAAACTTTCACACTAAAAGCATTATCTAGTAAATGGCACGTTCTAGAAAAATTAATTTGTCTCTTCTTTTTTTTTCGTTTCCTTCTTATGTGACAATTATTCTAATTAATTCTTCACTAATTTTTCGATTTAGTTCATTCCATATTCAAAAATATGTTCTTTTGTATTCTCAACTACTTCAAAAAAGGTTATTAACTTAATTTTTTTAGTACAATAAATTCCATCAATTACTCCCCTGAAAAATTGGTCAGTAAAGAAATTCCGAGAAAGACACAATGTTTCAAGTAATAGAGTATTGACTTGAATTTGTTACAAATGATCAGAACAACCAGCCGGTGCCCATGTTCATGGGCATGCCACTCTACGGTGCCCTCAAGAAAGACGAGAAGACGCCCTCCAACAAGGACACCCCCAGCACTGATGACGCCTCGCCACCTGCTGCCCCTGACGCTGCAAGACCAAGCGACCGCCCCACCATCTCCTCCCTCTACAGGAGCTCCAAGCCGTCTAATGCGTGGCGATGAACGTCTTCTCTGGCGGTGAACGTCTTGTCTGGCGGTGAACGTCTTGTCTTGTCCAACTGTCGAGCCTTTGGAATTATTAATGTTGAAAACGATTCTTATTCAGTTGGTAAATAAGGAACTTACTTTGCAAGTTTCGAAAAAGGCTTTTAGTGAAAGAGATTTTATAGATCTATGACATTGTGGAATAAACACATAGGTACTTATTTGTAAAAAAATATTGATTTTGAAAACGGATATTCTTGTTATAGACAATTCAACTATTCATGATAGAACTGGTAAGGATGGTGCTGGTATTCTCAAAATAATGTTATGTTATTTATTGCATTAGATTTTAATGGATGTTCGTTTAAAATGGATGGAAATTATTTTCAAATTGTACAACCATTTTTGAAGTTTATTTGTCATACCTTAATCTAGTCCTTCACCCTTGTCTAGTCAGTTGTTTTACGCCTATTTTAGCATTATTCCTAGAATAGGATAATACTAGTCAATTCTGAAACTTAACAGTACAATTTGACTGGTCGCAAATCTTTAGTGGTTTAAAAAAACGAAGCCTTTAAGATAACTCAAGAGCTCAAATCAATATTTCTACCATTTTTACTGTCAAATTGTAATAACGATACGCTATACATAATTATTGTTCTAAACTAAGTACTAATCCTAAGGATTTGCCTTAACGGATCTGCGAACTATATTTCAAAAGTGAATGTATTTCTACTTTTTGTTTAGTATACCTATACTCAAGTTTGATGCTTCCAAATGCACTTTACTTGTCTCGCTTCAAAATCAGTTTTTTCTCCGCCTTGCTACAATTGTATATTGTTATTTCACTTTTTCTGTTGTTACTTGATATGTTGTCACAGATCACATGAATGGTCTCATGTCAATGATTGTTGAAAACTTTTCTTTGAGAGTAATCCATCTAGTTTAATTACTTGATGCATATAATTACCTAGTCAGTTGTTTTGTTATTCCTCCATTTTTATTATTATGCCTGTAATGAACTGTCAACTGACTTATTTCCCTAACCATATTATTTTACTCTTGTTATGACATGAGCTCGAGGTGGCCTAGCGGTTAAGGTCACCAAGATTGCAACGACGAGTTGGTTGTTCGAAACCCTGTACCAGTTATGAAAATTCAGGAGATCGGATGGTTAAGAATCGGCGACAGGCCAACATGCTCATTCTACACCGCTATAAATGGGGAATTATATAATATTATGTCAACTCTTTAAAGGGGCGCTTAGGCACGCGTCTTCGCTCGTCAAAGGTCCTGTACAATTTCTCGTTCTTTGGGCATTTTCCCTGAACACCTCCCCACGCAACTCAATGTCGTTTGAATGCGAGTCTCAGATTTGTGGTCAACATTTTGTGTGTGCAAAATTCCTTGCATTTCCCTTTTGTTTAGCGGTCGTACGGATGCCCGATGCACCGTGTAAGCGACCACATGTCCGAGGGGTTTTGTTTCTGTTGCCGTTCGTACGTCCATTCTTCGTTCCAAGACTTATGTGGCTCTTTAGGTGTCTTACGAGGCTCTTTTCTCGCATGTTGCGCCACGTCATGTGAGACCTTCTCCCATTTTAGAGTTTAGATACGTTTTGATTGAAGAAATTGGTTATGATTGATACCTCTTACATTTCTAGTGATATTTATATTGACTAACTGATGTGTTAGCAAACCGCTATAACATTTTCCTACTCTTCACTGCTACTGACCAAAATAACCCCTGCGGCCAAATCTTTTTGCCGTATTATTTCTATTAAAAAACCTGTTATTATGAGCTTGCATAGAGTTAATAAAAGCAGGTGNAAATGCAAACGAACTGAGTGGACATTTATGTCTGGTCTTTAGGGTTGAGGTGAAAGAAAATTTACAATCGGCCTACGCAAGAAGCTTGCAGCATAGACATGACGATGAGTTGCTCTTGAATGAAAACCTCAAACAGAGTCTAAATAAATGTTACTGTTATGGTCGGTATTGTAATGATGATGCCGTCGTTAGATAAGAATAAGTGTGCGCTTATCTCGTCGACAATCCATTGAGAAGATGAGGTAGTGCTACACGTTCTTGAAAGGAGGTGGCAAGTTTCGTGTCTTTGCGATGCAAAGTTAAAGTCCGTGTTACAAAAAAGTCTGCGCTTTATTGTGTTTTCACTAGCTAAATGCGCGATTTTACATAATCAAAAATCTTGACAACTAATGGCGAAAACTTTTTCATCTCTGACCTGCTGCTAAGATAGCAAAGCAGATCATATGAATTTATTAGATGCGTGCTCATGCTGGGTGTTTTAAGCTGTCGATTATATCATACAAAACTTCTTATTGCGTTTTGAGTTATTACTGCCAAGAAAATCATGCCCACCAAGAGGGTAAAAATAGGGAAAACGAAAGCTAATTTCCCTGTTGTATTTTTGTTTTTCATTCGTTGAAATGAAATTGACCCTTGAAGAGAATTTAAAACTTGGGCGTATAAGCAAACCGCAATTGTGTTTAGAACGTTCAGCACACCATTCGTATTCATGAAAAAATATAACTTAGTACTCGCTGCACTGAGTGACAGAGAGCTCACTTTCTCGTCCGTCCGTGAAGTCACGGACAGACAGATGGACAAGACGAGCACAATATCGCCTTTTTAAAAAAAAAAGAGAAAATTCGTTAAAAACACATGCCCAAAATATTTATTACCTTCTATTAATCATTTAAATTACTTTGATTATCTATTAATTTATTGCCTACTATCAATACATTGCTTTCTTGTTAACGTTTTCTTAAATTGTGATTTGGTACTCATGCAGTCCATTTACATAGTAGCAGGCATCTTAACATGTTTTCGGTATATCGATTATTTATCTAAAAAAGTTCATAATGGAATTTATTTGATATCCCGTTGACGGTGCATGGGCTGCGCGATACGCTGACAAATTAACGACAGCTTTTGGTTTGCATGAAAAAATTTTTGGTCGCTTGCGTTGGCGAAAATTCGTATCGGTTTTTGTATCGGCAGCGTCGGGGGAAATTCAACACCACACTTATTTCAGGCGCAGTCGTAACTCGCTCGAAACTTTTTCATGTGGGAAGACTTACTTAATTTGAAATGTTTTATATTTCCTTCCTGTCTTTTGTGATTTACCGAGCTGTAGGAACTGAACTGAATCATAGACAAATTTCTGAAATCACCCTCATGTATATTACGTAATGTAACGTATGAATTAAATAGTTTCTTCAAGATGCCGCTCACAAAAGACTACGCTGCAATTTTATGCCTGCTATTTTATGAAAGATATGTCCATCGATTAATATCGACGAAGTTTTCTGAATTTCCTAATTTTAAATGATTTTCCTCAAGTTCCGTGACGGAGCCAAGTAAGCTCACTACTCCTTTCTACTCACGTAAAATTAGAGTATTCAATAGTGCATTATTGTATTCACAGTATTTGCACTGTTCGAAAAAACAGTGAAAAAACGGTCAAACGGTCTTACCGGCCGGCACGTTCTATAACCAGCCGCCCCGTGAAAATAAACAATTTCGCCGATTTTTTCAGAAGTTACACGGGTTTCTAGGGTAAAGTTGTAATAAAAACGGCAACACGGTGTTTATTTTTTTTTTCACGTGCCGGGCGGTTACTGAAACGCCGGTAATATCGTTTAACGGTGATTTATCTAACAGTGTGTATTCATATGTCATTGATAGTCATTTGAAGCTTCAAATACATGTAGGTTACTTTTTAATTCAGCATTGCTTGCAAAAAAACAACTTCCAAAATTAATTGCCTTTTGAAATTGACCCCAAGTTATCCACGATCAAGTGACCACTGGAGATGATATCTCATCTCAGGGTCTGCTGATAACATCGAATCATTACAGTCAGCAGCTGCACAGACCCTTACTCGTCGCGAGGTCTAAATATCTCATCTCAGGGTCTGCTGATAACATCAAATCATTCCAGCCATGCAGTAGCTGCACAGACCCGGCCTCGTTCGTCGCGAGGTCTAAACATCTAGTCTTAGGGTCTACTTAATACGTCAAATAATAACATTTAGTAACTGCGCAGACCCTCGCTCGTCGCGAGGTCTAAATATCTCATCTCAGGGTCTGCTGATAACATCAAATCATTACCGCCAGTAGCTGCACAGACCTCCGCTCGTCGCGAGGTCTAAGTATCTCATCTCAGGGTCTGCTGATAAGATCGAATCATTACAGCCAGTAGCTGCGCAGACCCTCGCTCGTCGCGAGGTCTATGATGTGCTGGAGAGCAAGGGACGGGGCGGGTGGAGGCGCCCTACCGCTGCCATCATCAAACAAATAATCAGGGCTTTTATCAGGCAATAAAGCCGCCTCAAGTGGTCATGGAACGATATTTTCGACCCACCCCCTGACGCTCCCAGGTCTTTGATGTCGGCCAACATACGCACGTACGTGTTGTTGGTTTCAGTAAAAATCTCGAGTAAAATTGCACGCGATTAATACGAGCTGTAGCCGTGTGATCTGTGCAAGCCGAAGTGGAGGGATGGGAAGGAGAGAGCGGCAGGATAAAAATAGTGCTTGAACTGAATGGAACCAATTGCTCCATTGAGATGCCCCAGGCAGCTCACGTGAGTTGGGTGCAAATCATAATAATTTATACCTAAATTAATATTATAACAAACACGGGATTCCAATAATGAAAACTTTGCACTGAAAGTGCGTTTTGATTCGCAAAAAAATTGATTTTTCTGCACTGAAATTATCATGCAGGCAGAACGAAATTATTCCGTGCATCATGTAGACATAGAAAATTCGTAAATTTAATGCACGTTTCATAAATTTTATAGTTTATAATACATGTCTTGATATTACAAGTCATTCGATATTGTTAACATCGGTGACGCATTCCTGATGTCAGCGAACTAAGGAGATTTTCTGAACGTAATTTGGCATCATTCGAGCATCGAAGAAGCGAGGGGGAGAGCCACGCGGTAGTCAAGCGCAACCAATCTGGCTCGCAAGCGCCATATCCATTTTGGAACGCTTTGTTCGCTGGACAAAAGAAGGATGGGAAGCGTACAAGCATCCCGACCTTACGTACAATATTAACATTACACGCAACATTGTGCCCACTTAGCCTTGTCTGTTCCTTTCTCAATGGACGAATGTTTATGAGTGTTTATTGTGGTGAGCCTAGTGATATTGCGCTGTTGCTGCGACCACCTCCATACCGCACCGAATCGTGCGTGGCTTGACTTATAACGCCGCCTTTATATAGAGGCCTAAACCAGCGTGGCTTTAGGCCGAGTGGCAAAAATCTAGTGCGGCTTTATGAAGAGTAGTTTTTATCATCATGTATTCTTACCGCGCGGATTATATTATGGATTCAAGTGAGATTTAAAAGTTAAGCTGACCGAGTAAGACGGCACTGCAGCTAGGTAGGTTCATCTATGAATTCGTACAGTACAGTCTCTCGTACAGTACAGTACAGTACAGTACAGTACAGTACAGTACAGTACAGTACCGTACCGTACAGTACAGTACAGTACAGTACAGTACAGTACAGTACAGTACAATACAGTATAGTATAGTATAGTATGTATTCTAGTATTCATGCAAGAGATCTTAAAACTGATCATTTGACCAATATTAAGACCTTCCTAAAGTTGCTTGTGTTATACCAAGCATTAATAGGGGCACCAATATGTCCATCCATATACCGCTAGTATCAATATACCTATATAATCGGTTCTTGGTAAATTTAAGGAAGGATTGTGCAGCTGCGAGACCTCGGCAGTCACTGCTGTATCATATCAATAATGTTTACCACACTCTGAAGTACCTCCCGCCACCGTGACCAATGCATTCGCTAGCGTGCTGAATACATCGTCTCCTCTTACCTCCACAGGAGGCAAGGGTCTGGCCGAAATAGTCGGTCACACGTGATGCATTAAACTTGCTTTATTAGCAAGAGGCAACTCAAAGGTGTAAGTTAATGTGTACTAAGTTAGCATTTGTCTAATTCACAGCTAAATAGGGTGAGAATGAATGTGTAATTAGGGCACTTGTTTTTTCCACCAGAATGTTTCACCATTCCCAAATAAGGAACATAAGGGAGTCAAGCGAGTCGAAATTAATAAATTGTAGATGAAGGCAAAAGAATAACCGCGCAGTATGTAATTCCTGACTAAAATATTAAGTGACATTAGTGAAAGCAAATGTCTGATAATGGAATAAGCGCGAATAATTTTCCATGATATACTTATTGTAAAATGCAAATACAATTAAGAACGAGAATTGATAATTGATAGCGAAATTAAGCTAAGCAAAATTTTGCATTATTCTCCGAGATTTATGAGTTTCTTAATTAAGACTGGCTGTTTTTATTGTATGATATCACAATTTTTTCTACTCTAATGCAAGTATTGTCAGGTTGGCGATGTCCTTATATATCAATTAGTGTCGTAGTTATATAGTATCTAACACCAAAGCCGATAATTTTTTGATGGTACGTAATTTGCTTGAAATTTTGTTATCATAACCCAGTAGCTATATATAGGCTGCGAGCCTTAAGTGAGACCGGTTAAATGGCTTCACGAGTCTCCTGCATGTAGCCTCCTCTTCCCTGACATTTTCGGCCATGTTGGAATTCGGAACATTAGGATATGAGTGCATGGGTCCCAGAAGATAAGAAACATTATAGGATATATGAGTGGGTCCCTTGAGGCGACTTGCTCCCTCTTAGCAGCCTTTGCGACATGCCGAGAGAGAAAACGCTAGTCTTTATACTTACGAGAAAAAACAACAACTTTAGTAGACGGTGCAATTAAGGAGGTAAA